TGTGATAATGTCACAACAAATAATTGCTCATTCTCATTTTAAAATTTGCACTTTTTTTGGCATTTCCTCAAAAAATTGATTACTTCATTTTAAAAAATTACCTGGAAACGCCGAAGACATTGGACACATCCTCCGACAGAAAAACTGTGGCAGCAACTATATTACTAACCACAAAGAAACATAAAAAGGAATAAATGGGGACAAGACTCCAATCTGAAGACAAAACCAGGGATGGTTCTTTGCCAGGGACAGAGGGTCAAAAACAGGGATGGACAATCACCCTACTCTAGCCTAAACCCCATCTTCAAAAATTACAGGCATTACAAGAAAAATAATTTTTTAATCATAAAAACATATTAATTATGTTCTTTTCCATTCTTGAGTTTCTAAGTTGAGCAGCTGCTACATAACCATTTAACTTAGACAGTGAAAAAGAATACTTTTGATTTAGCAAAACCTCAAAAAATGATAATGCTATAATAATAAAGTTATTTAAATGTTTTCTTATGAAAAACAAGCCATTTCCAAATAATCAGATTATCCAAAACATACGCATTCAAAATTTTGCTTTCTAAATTTTTTTCTAGAAATTCGATGATTCCACCAAATTAACATAATTCCTTAAATTCAATTTTTCTAGTAACTCAATTTAGTTCCTAAACAGAACAATGAACTATTACTTCAAAAACAAGAATAATGTTACTAGAGTGGACTTTTAAAAGATATTTAGAAAGTAAAGCTGTGAATGTATATGTTTTAGATAATCTACTAAATTGCTTGTTTCTCACAAAATGAGATTTTAACAGCAAGTCATTTTTATTTATTTTTTTGACATTAATACGTTTATTTTTGATAATCAGGGAAAGATTAGTAGAGATTTTATTTTTTGTATATCTTGATCATTTTTCATCTTATGAATAGCGCATAAATATATTAAAGCTTTGAATAAAGCATGTGATTATCCTTGTTAAAAATTTTCTGTAAATTAATTGCTATGTTTCCACATTAATAAAGTTTTTCTCTTTTTATTTCTTTTTAGTTTATGAAGACAAACTCTAGTCTGAGAACAGTTGTCTTCTTATCATTTTCTTCAAATAAATCAAGTTTTTATTTTATTATTTCAAATCATTTTTAGAATATAATTGTGAGAATCGGCACATAAATTATCTAATTAATTTAATTAGATAATTTGTGTGCCGATTCTCACAATTATATTCTCACAATTTAATTAAATAGGGAGTTTTTTGAATCGTTTAGATCAAGAATCTCTCCTATAACGGAGTCACTTCCTTCATTTTCCGATAGAAATTATATCGTCGTTTTCTCCATTTACGTGAGAAAGTAATATTTCCCTTCAAAATTGGTGATAAATTAGCGTGAGAAATAAATTTATCCCACATGTTGTTTACACTAAAGGAAGTACATTTCTCACTTTTCTGACAAAAGGAGAAATCAACTTCCCTTTTACAATCCCTTATCGCCAAAGTTTGACATCCATCTGGCCATCCATTCCCTCTCCACATCCCCACACATCCCATCTGTGGACTTGAATCAAGGATTGTGATTGGCCAGAATTTAGGATAAAAGGGGCAATCTTCCCCGATTGGGGGGTTGGTTGAAGATTTTTTTTGTACTCCAAACCCAAGTCTCTCCATCCACCGAGTCTTTGCCCAGTGCACCAGGGTTCCTTCTTGAACTTCTCCCTCCAGCTGAAACTCCACCACAGTTCATCCCATCACATCGATATTTTGTCATCAATACAAGATTTACTCTAGAACACAGCGAGATAGTATGAGTTATATTAATGTAAACTCTCCTCTCTCTCTCGAGGTATATTAGGAATAATTGTTGCTTGTTTGAATGTATTTTGCTTATATGTCATCTTAATTAAATTTTGATTTGTTGATTTATCATGGTCTAGTCTCTGAACTCAATTCCACGCCGAAATCCCATCATTTATCCACAGACCCTTCCACTCAGAAGAATTTAATTTACTTAACAGCGTGTCTAACACTCAAAATTTAGGCTGATGTCAGGAGAATGACTTACAGGGACATTATACGAACTCCCTGCACAAAAATATATATTCATTAAACCCATCCTATGACCCTGTGACAGATCCCCAAGGTCTGTGCCGAATAGTCAGGCAGTAAATATATTTTCTATCCCTGGATCTCACATAATCTTGTTGAACTGCCATTCTCTTTTCATTGCCCAAAGATCAAACTAAACAATACCTGACTTTTGCTGAAAAACTGATTTATTTTAATGTCTCTGAATAAGATATAAACAACATTTTAACTGAGAAACAATCAGAAGTACCTTATAATCTTTTATAAAACTAATGACAGATCAGAAAACATGCTTAATGATGCAACATAACTATTAAATACTGATGAAATAATGTACTATACATTGATGAGAAATCTTGTCAGAGTAATTACTAAAAGTGAACGAATAACAAATATTAATACATTAATCAATTATTTGTGAAATAGGATATTCAAAAATAATATTCTAAATAATTTTTTTTTGCTTTATTCAGATTCATGTTCAATGTAATTATCATTATTTTATATTTTTTATTATAAATATATATACTGTATTGTCTGATATATTTTTAAAGTTTATTTTTAATTGAACATAATCATGAAATTTATTTTAAGTGATATTACATTTCGTAATTGAATTTACAAAATGTAATAGCACTTAAATCAAAAACTTTTATCAGAAGATTATTAATTTGCCTTCAAAAACATTTTCAAAGATAGTAGGGTATAATATGAGTCAAATGTTACTTAACAGACTTGTAAAATTGAACTGAGTTAGATAGGGGAAATTTCGGAATGATAGAAATATGTTATACCTAGGTGGCTGTCCGGTTATATGTCAATGGACAGCCATCATTTTGAATTTACCTCAAAATATTTAACTGAGAATGGAATCATATGATACATGAAATGATCTAGAATTGGAAGAGAAATGCAATGGTGGACTTGTTTTCCTCCTAAGGAGTTCAAGCAATTCTAGATCATGGCTTATCTTTGATTAATCCATTTTTGCAGCACTTTTGATTGAAATTAAAATAGCTCTGTGGGGACCTTGTGCACTTTAACCTATCAACCCAGAAGTTACCAGCATCTCACTGATAATAAAGAGAGACTTAAATTTAAAATTTGAGCTTTCTAGACCAGTAATTCTTCTCTAGGAGCATGTGAAGTGACTGGAAAAAAAAGGAGAAATTATAGCCTTTTTTGGTGATATTTGTACTTTCCAATTGCTTATATTTCAGCAACTCCTTTACAGAAAATCCTGAAATTTTGCACACTACCTTAGAAACCAATTATCTTTCAAACAATGTATTCAGAATTACTTTAAACATTTGAGCAGAAAAATTGACCCCCAAAAATTGGCAACTCTGATTCCTCAATATATAGTTAGTCACTGACTTTTTTACTTAACATGGAGTTACTGCAGTGATTCTCAATGACTGGCTTGTAGCAATCAAATGCAGAACACTGAGAATCTATCTAATATTTTTGTAAAAAAAGACTTGCAGAACACTGAGAATCTATCTAATATTTTTGTAAAAAAAGATTAATATATAAATAACAATTACATGAAATCACTGAACAAATCACATATGGACAGGTTTGAGTCATTAGTTTCATATGAATACAAAAAAGAAAAAGCATATTTTATTACATTAATAAATATTTGAAAACTACAGTTTGTAATGATTTATACTTATTTGGCAGTTGACTAATTTACTTTAACACCTACAGTACATATAGGGAAATTTTAATTGTTAAATAAAATGGTTATCAGTAACAGGCTGGGTGCAGTTGCTTTCTTGCACCATCATTTATCAAAAAGATGTATATTTTATACAACATATATTTGTTAAGTATTACATATATTTTTACAAGTAATTTATGAAAATATTGTTGTTATAAAATACTTTTCATAATTTCTGTAAGAAATTAATTCAACAAGTTAATAACATAAAAAATTCATATAAACTTACAATTAAAACTCAAAATGGAATAAATTAAATTAGATTTACACTTGACAACTAACATTCTAAGAAAACTAATGATAAAAGTTACAGTTTATGCTTTCCTTCCTGATTATTATTTATTTTTTATTCCTAAACAGGGTGAATGAAACCAATTTCCAGCATAAAACTGTAAAAGAGCAAACAGTCAAAAACGTTTGCTCTTTTCTATAATTTTGTGCTAGAAATTGGTTTCATTCACCCTGTCTGTTAAGTATACCTAGTTTTGAATTGTTGATTATATATTTTTTTTACTATATTTTAATCATAACATTAATATCTTTCTATTTAATACAATGGTATAATATATGAACACCAACTGAAGAAGGACTATTATTTCATAAAATAAAGTAAAAATGTAGTATGGAAGTCATGCCAACATATTTACTTGATAGAAAAAAGAATAAAACAGAAAACGGTGTTAAAAGGCCTTTTAATTCATTTGCTAGCACTTTCAATATTCATATAAATATCATCACACAACTCAAATGAAAAGCTTTTTCAGAACAAAACTTTTGAAGTACAGAATTGGAACAACATTAATCAAATAGAATACAAAATATGAATATCGAAAGCTCTAGCAAAGGAATTAAAAAGCCCTTTAACGCCATTTTCCATTGTTTTATTCTTCTCTCTCTCTTCAAGGACTATTATTGTGTCCGAAATGCATTTTCAGTGTTCTTTATTATGTGCATGTTAAAAGAACCATAGTTTATTGCATAATTTTATTAAGGTGTTAATAATCATTAAAGAACTTGTAAATTAATCTTATTCACCGGTGTGATAAGCCCATATATATTTATTTAGACTGAATATTAAATATCGAGTTGCCAAACCATACTTGTTAAATTTCTAGTATCATACAGTGGAATTTATCTTTTATATGAATATAAATTCAGATACATAACAGTTATTACGCAATATTATAAAACATTTCACTTACACATGTCCACAACAAATAGTAACTGGCTCACGATAAATTTCAAGGCATACTGAACATGTTACAGTATCTTGATTAATTACTTCTCTTTTAGACATTACTTCAGCTGCAATTAAATATATTTCACAATTAAATAATTCAAAACTACACAGAAATCGAAAATGAAACTCTATAGATTAACTAAAGACAATCAATAAATTGAAACTCTTAATTTAACATGATTTTTATACATAATTCTGGAATAAAACCTTACTCAAAATTTATCATTAAGTTCCAACTGTGAAGTGTCATATGTAGCCTAAACAATAAAAATTGTTTTGATAGATATCACAGTGCTGCCATCTTATTCTAAATTATATTTAATTTAATTTGGAGTGAATAATCTAAAACTAATTAATTATTAATCTGTAATAATAAAAAAGTGTTTAATTATAGCTTAATTATATTAATATTTATAAGAATAGTATTTAAACTTAAAATCTGTAATTTTGGGATTTTTTTTCATTTGACACTTTCCGCCCTGCGAACATTGTTTTTTTTACTCTTTTCGCCGTGTGGACACTAAAGCTGTGTTCGAACAGGCTGTTCTTACATTACATTACATAAGAACAATCTTGATAAAAAAAAAAAGGCCATTTCAAGCTTCATTCAGAAAGACTAGTAATAAAAAGGCCAGGCCCACAATGACATGTATCAGGGACATACCATCCCTGAAAAATTATCGCGTTTTTCGATATGCCTGGATTCGATCTCGGATTTGTACGCTGACGCCTTAATGCCTTGACTACTTAGCTTGCTATTCTATAGTTTTGAATCATGTATTAAATAGACTTGCAGAACATTGAGAATCTCTAAAATTTTTGTAAAAAAAAATTTTTAAATGTATGAATTTAATACAGCTTGTACGACTTTATTAAGATTTATGACATTGTCTTACTCGTTAGCGGTGAGTGACATATCTATTGATGTTCTAAATCTATAATTTAGTCCTTGAAAAATTTATATTTACCTGTATATATGTATTTGATATTATCTCTTAAAGAAATAAATTAAATCAGCTCTTTGTATGGTTCTACTTATAGGCCTATAGAAAATAACACAATTCACGGTTTTATTTTTAGTAATCAGTAATATTTAATTAATGTAAAAGAAATTAGTCAACAAAATTATTATTATTATTTATGTATTGTATTTATTTGCATTCTATAATTTATAATTATAAATGTNCAATGTGTTTAAAGTGTGTTAAAATAGTTTATATTACATTCACATTTCATTTAAATGAATCATTTTCTACACCACAAGAATATGATTAATTTAAGTGAAAAAGACATATTTAATACATGCGAAAATGATTAATTTAAAACGAAATCTACAAAACGATTAAGTTAAATCTAAATATTTTCACTCAATATGAATATAATTATATTTAAATTCATCAACGTCTTATTCTACGCGATGCCATACGGGATTATTTTTACGCAATTTATATACTTTTACATACAATATGACAACATTTCATGCAATTTATATACTTTTAAATACGCAGTACACTTTATTTATGTCTTTAAACACATTTTTATTCTATAAATCTTCTATTTTTTCTTACAAACTCCATATTATTATTATTATTAAAACCAATCTTGATTAATTAAGGCAAACTTATCATTGTACTCTTTAATTAAATCATGATTCTCTTAATGTAATCTCACCATAAATTTAATTCTTTACATCATATAATATTTATACCAAAGGTAATTGTAAATTCTTCATGAATTTCCCAGAAGAATTAAAAAATAAAAAAAATAAATGTAATGAAAATCTCAAGACAGAGTATAACCAGCAATTGTATTTAAAATTTATATTCCGATGATGAAATTTTTATCTTAATATGTATAATTATATTTCCACTCCAATATTCTTCGTAATTTTCTGTTAAAATATTAAAAGAAAATATATCTCTGTGGTTATATTTTCTTCCTTTCCACCTGAGTGTTTCTCAATCATTTCTTTTTCCTCATCTCTTCTTATCTTTTGATAACTCAAGCTACATCTAACTTTAAATAAAGAAAGAGAAACTTTCAAATGGAAATTTCGGATGCTAATAATTTATAAAAGTATATACACACATACTTTTATAAATTATTTCCCTCTGCTATATGGAACAGAGGAAAAGTATAGCGATAGGTCAAAAAAATGTTTTGGGGGTACAGAAACCCCCCAAAGTTTTCTGCATTTCTCGACGTTTAAAGGTCCCCTGAATCCAAAAAATTGAATTTTACATTTTTTGGATTCAGGGGGACCTTGAAACGTCGAGAAATACAGAAAACTTTCGGGGGGTTTCTGTATGCATGGATGTTAGTTTGTTTGGGGGCACGATTCTTGTTCGTCTTCTTTGAAGCTTAATAATTCCNCTACTAGAACTAGAACCTGTATTCCCAGAGAAGCAAACATTTATTTCCTCGTTCGTTTGGCATTTTCCTTTTTAACATCAACAACAGTAAATTATATAGTCAAAAGAAAAAGAAGTTTGCATACCGCCAGTCGCTAAAAATCATCTATTAAGAATTATTAATATAACATTTAAATAACTATCAAAACTTTAATAATTATAATTATTATTTAAAATTTAAATATATTGTATTTAAATATTTTATCTTTCGAATTTTAAATTAATTTTTTTTATAAAAAAATAAATTAGTATTTATTTGTAGATGGCGTACGGTAGATATTTATAAATTCATTACAGTTCAGTTCTGCTATTGGAGGAACGAAGCTGTTGAATTCTTTCAAAACCGTTAGCGATAGAAAAGTAGTAAAAAAAAGTATTTTATTATTATTTAAGTTAGAAAATGGCTTCACAGAATGTCGATCCACTTTTCACACCAACTTCGAGTAAACTGGCGGAGGAAAAGAAGTCTTCTGAGTCAGGAAAACATTCGGTTACGAAAAGGTAAGTTTAAGCCTAATCCTATAACAGTCAATTTCAAAAAGTTTACTAACGAATTTGAAATTATATTGGTAATTATATTTATATTTTCGAACGAATTATTATATAAATAAATAAGAATATTTTGAAATTTGAAAATGTAAATATTAAATTTATATAACGACAAATTTGTTAACGTTAAATTCGATTTACAACGGTAATTCTCAATTAGCACGTGTTTATTGAAATGTATTAATTAATATCTAAACACGTGCTAAATGATACTTGCCATTGATTAATTTTTAAGTGTCATTTAATATTCTTTTAGTAAAATGAAACTTACAAAACGATTTAAAATATTCAAAATACAAATAAATATGCTCATTCCCTTTAAGGAAATATAATTTATAATAATAATTTCCATTTTCTCATTTCATCAATTAAAGATTTAACTAAATCCTCCTAATTTCTAACAGTTAAAATTATGTAAACTAAATTTTTGTAAATCATTAATTAATATTCTATACTCTTACAAAGTAATTAGTGAATCATGCAAAATTTTAATTAATTTGTAATAAACAAAAATATTGTTATTTCAAAGAAATTAAATTCTAAACTTGAATGTCATTTTTAATTTTGATTTGTAATGATTAAAAATTTGGCACTAAAGTTTAAAACTTATACTGTATTCGTGTGTTATCCAAAATGAGATTGAAATTGTTATTATTGATCATTTAATATTGTGTGCAAATATAAAATAATTGCAAAAGCAAGTTATTTGAAATTTAAAGAACAAATTTTAATTTGAGCTGAAAAACTAGGCAAATTTTTTTTTTTGAATAAAAAGATACATTTATTTATAGTTTTCTGGAAGATAGAACTTGGAAATACGAGAACTTATTGAGGGAGGTCATTTCACAATGCAGTTTAGGATAAACAAAATAAGGAATAAATTATCAAACCAAAATTAATACCCTGTTTTAGTTAAATACTGATGACAAAAGATGGTTTTCAAGAAAAGTTTATTATTAATAGTCTAAAATTAGAAATTAAGAAAAAAAACCTGTAATGCAAGAATAATATAAAATTACCCTAAAAATTTTTGAAGTATCTATCTAAAATGAAACTATAAAAAAATCCAAATAATTTGTAAATTATTGTCTGTATTTGTATAATATATATATAGTTGGATAAAGCTATTTAGCAACAGTGAACATGTAATTAAGCAAACTTTTACGTCATATTCTTAAATATTTGAACATCAGAGGAAAAAACGTCATTTTTATTAACAAAAGAAATATTCAAGGTTGTATCTGAAGATTTTGGTGTAATGAAAACCAAATTGGCTCATTGTGAAATATAATTGAAGTGAGAAGATTATTTATATGTAATTTAAAATTTGTAATTGAACCATAAATATCTGAAAATAGTTACCTTAGTTTTAATTTTAAAACTTAAAGAAATGTGAAAATGGGAATTTTGGTTCAGTATAAAATATGTACTGGTTAAAAATTTTTTTGTTTTGTACCTTTAAAAGTTAGAACAAGGATATAATGGAAATTTTACATTTAAAGGAGTCATTAGGGAATGTTTAATTAATGTGTTGATTGATTTGTAAATACAGTAGTTTCAAAAATTCTTCACATCCAAAATGACGCACATTATCACTTTTCATTTATTTTTTTAAATTAAATTCTATTTTTATAAAATATATAATGTAGCTAAATTTATTGTTTTTAGANGTGTTTTTTATTCTTAAATAAAAATTACGTAAAATTTCATTTTAACACTATATATATTTTATTTGTAGGATGATTCGAAAAATTTGGTAGTTACACAAAACCTCACTTTACTCTGCAGTCCCTTATAAGCAAAGGCCATAGACAGACAGACACAGACAGACAGACAGGGCATTCATCGGTGCGTATAGTTTACTAATAAAGCCTGAATCAGTGGTGAGATTCAAACTGCTAAACCAATTATTGAAAGTTCCTCAGTTCGACCAATCAGAGGTGTGGTTTACTTGGTTACGACAATGTGACACATGCCTCCTAGCTATGTTAAGCGTTGCCTCCCATGAGGACTTTCTATGGGAAATTGACCCCTATTCAGATGCTTCAAGGGATGCTCCCGAAAAGACTTTCTATGGGAAACTGGCAGTTACTCAGGTGTTAGACACATGAAGAAAACCCGAAAAACCCCAATTATCCAGCTCGTTGGTGAGACACTAACTCAAGATCAGAGTTTAATGGTCTTATCCATTCGGGCACCGGTGGGCACCGATATGAAAGAGAACGGTAGTATAATAAGCCGATTTGGGAAGTAAAAAGTTGTAGACAATGCACGTGGCCAAATTCCGAGTACAAAATACTGGCTTAATCTTTGATTTACCACAATTTTTCTGAACAGAAAAGAGAGAGAAAATAGAGATTTAGTATCGGGGTGCAAATTATATATATATATATATATAAAACTTTCGACTTTTGATGTGGAATTCGTTAAAAGATATAAAATATTCATTGTGCATTTACAAATTTTTTAACCATGCTGTTTACATAATTAAGTTTTCTAAGCGACAAGAGACAATGTTTAATCCAAAAAAAAAAAAATGGAGTGACAAGTTTTACTTGATTTCTTTCGAGGGGAAAAAAATTCTCAAAGGCAAACATTCAACAAGCGATGTAATTCCTAAATCTAATATTGCTAAACCGGAAATGAATTTCCAAATGTTTTTCCTAATTACTAAAGCACGAGGCAGACAACACGAGGATACGTTTGTTGACAATAAGAAACCAGAATGTCCCTAATGATCAAAATTTCATTCATTAAGAGAAGTTAAATAAAAAAAACAAAGAACGAAACTTTCAGTCCAGCAATCATCTTTTAATTTTAAGAAAATCACGTGACTTCCGGTCCAAACCGGAAGTGCGTACACAATTAACCAATTTCACCGGCCCCTTTCTAGTTTCGATTTTAGTAGTGTCTTGCTCCTGTACATTACACTTCTCCTGATAACGATCGAGTCATGCCGTTACATCTAACTCCGTTCTGAAGAGAATTTTGAATTGCAATGGGAATGAATAGGTCTTTAATTTGAAAATTGCAATCCGATAAATTAATTAATGGCATAACTATCTTCAGAAAGAACTTGAGCATAATTATGTTCCTAGTTTATTTCTCTCCCCCTTATAATTCTGTTATCTGACGTCAAACGTCGCATCACCCACCAACGAAACGTTGATTTTAGATGAAAGTATTAATAAATCAATGTGTTTAAAGTGTGTTAAAATAGTTTATATTACATTCTTGTCGAAATTAACAATTATAATTAAATTTTATTGTCCATATTTGTATGGAGGAACTCCTGAAGGTTTTCGCGTAACCTTAGGATTCCACTGAATACAGTTTAAAAAAAAACGTTATCCTAATTCCTTATGGGGCCTGAAAGATAAGATTTGATTCCAATTAAAACAAAAAGAAAATTACCTACGCAGCTATTTAAAAGTAAAAAAAAAATATGATCTATATGAATGTCATTTAATTAATTGAATTCGCATATATAAATGCATTCTTCCCGCTCGTGTTATGTGCACAAAGCACGTCACTTCAGCTGTCTGTTTTGTGTGGAGTTTTAGTTAATTAATTATCTAATAAAGATTATTCAAGATTAGGTTTTCCGAAGTTTATAACAAGGCAAATCTCGTGTTTATAATCTCCAGAAAAATTAGAGATAAATGACTTTTTAAAACAATGAATTATTTTCGATTTTTGTGTTAAGTAATAAAATTTCCATTATAATATCTGATTATCTATTAACGTACAGTATCTATATATGTTTGTGTGTGTTTGGTAAAGGGTTTTATACCATACAACGTATCTCCATTAAATTTGGAGAGTAACGCCGGGCACAAGCAGATTAGTGTTTTATAAAAATGTAATTTATATTTAAAATGTGTCTTTAAATGATATTCGTGTATTTCACGAGTCAAATTTCATGTTGAAATTGATACATATTTGAATGTAAACAGCCATTAACGATAATTTACTCAAAGAAAATGATATTTCTTCTCATCTAGAGAGAGAGAAGAGAAGTGGAAAGAGGAGAAGGAGGGAGAGAGAAGGGATTAAAAGAAAGGGGAAGAAGAGGAGAGGGGAAGAGGAGAGGGGAAGAGAGAATGAGGGGTGAGGAAAAGGTGGAGGGAAGAGGGAGGAAGAGAGAGAAAACAGGTGGAAAGAGAAGAGGAAGAGGATGAGGGAGGAGGTGAGAATTTAAATATTCTCTAATGTATCTTGAGTAAGATTACATATCTCTAACGGAGATAATCTTCCTTTTCTATATTTAAACTACATTTATATGGTTTTCTGATTACTCAGCAAGTTCTTTAGATTATGTTTCTTTTTTTCATTTAATTGAAATATAAGATTAAAAATCGAGAAATGCATTAGTACGATGAAAAAAAATATATATCAGGTTTTAACCTGTATCAAAACCTCATAAATTTTATTTGATAAATCCCTTACAAAATCTGATTAAAACTTTCATTTCTTCGAGAAATTATTTAAAATAAAGGAAAAAAAAAAACAAAAGAAACAGATAGACTTTACGGACGAACCTTCATTAAACTTTTAATGCGCTCTTCACTGCATAATAATTATATTTTAAGTATGAAACAATTTAAAATTTATTGAAAATAAATGATTAATTTTATTTAAATTTCATTTTTACTATTTAATTTTTTGAATTTTTATTGNTTAATTTCAGATTTTATTTATATATTTTTATCACAGTTATTGTGTTTCTAATGCTTGTATTTCATTCACTGATGAAACAAGATGATGTTAAAGCAATAAACACATATGTCGTCCCAGTACTCACTTATTGCGGCCGGATGGCCGAGCGGCCAAGGTGGCAGCCTACCGCTCTGGGGGACCCAGGAATTTTTCGGAGGGTGGTCCGTTCGGATATGTCGGGCCCAGTCCCTCACTACCCGGCAGCCCCATTGTGGACCTGGCTGAACCCATAATGGGCTTGCAAAAAGAGGCCATCTTAGTGCCCACAGGACGGAAAGAGTTAAAAAAAAAACCACACACGCTAGACAAAAGCCTGGGAACATGAAAAGTGAATAGAAACACATGCATCACATGCACAGAAGGCCACTACGTATATTGAATACATGTCATATTGTTAGAAAATTCCTGAATACAGACACATACTGACACACTTATTTAATTTTTGTCTTGTTTGAAGTTACTATGCCTTGACTCTGGTCCGGCATAGTACAGTACACAGCCATCGGTGTCAACCGAGTGTAATTCACAATAGTCAATATAATAATAATAGGTTTATGGCATTACGAAATTTCATTTCATTTCAATCTCGATAGAGGAGTGCTGTAGCCTTTCGCTTTTCACTCCGGAAGAACAGAGGGGTGCGATCGAAAAGGCGGTCTTATCGAAGACGACCAATCCGAGGAAGACAAGAGAGAGGTCACGAAGCGACCAAAGCCGGCCTTATATGAGACGGCCCACGCGAGAAGGGGGGACAGAATGCCTTCCGGGAGGACTTGGAGGGGGAGTTGGCCCCTATTCAGGCGTCATTGGCAAGGATGAAAACTCGGAAAAAACTCCCGCTGCCAGCTCGTCCGAGTGAGGCGCGAACCCCCGATCGAACTCCGGAGTTTAGAGTCTGATCATCGAAATTTTATGTATCCTATCATACGTTTTTGAGGGGAATAACATTTTGGTGTGTCGTGTTGAGTCATATCGAGTCATAGGTGTGCCGCGAGTAGAAAAAGGTTGTGGAACACTTTAAAGTAGCAGTTATTTATATAACATATATAATTTACAGTAAGCTATTTAGTTAAGATTGCTCAATACTTTTCTTTTTATTGTACATGGTATATGGAAAGTAACTAGGCATTGAGAAATCACTATAATTTTTGCAATAATAATAAAATCATAATAAAATTTCTGTGTTCGCGTACATCAATCAATGACATTTTATAATTCTCGCATTGATGGTGTGGGCAATGAAAGAGAGAGCAAAAAAGATAGCTGCTCGCTTGTCTGTTCAGTAACGAGCGCAGATCACTGTACGTTATGAGGTATGGAAAATCAGCGGTTGCTGTACAAAGATGACACTCGCGGTGAAAGGACGTTATGCCACAATCTGTCCAGAAACAAACAAGAATTATTATTCGAAGATAATAACCACAGGTTATATTGCTGACGCACAGAAGTGGCCGTCCATCCACATCACGATCTGAGGAAAATGCGTCATTGGTAGATGGCGCCGATCCTACATTCAATTTTAAAGTACTCATTCATATCTCCATTTATTAATTAATAAGGTGCTGCGAAATCATTTACATCGTCTTTGCCTTAGAAATATAGAAATTATAGAGATTTCTTAATGTCTAGTTATTTTCCACCCACCAAGTGCATAAATCGATAATATTTTGAAAGACAATTTATAGACTACATAGTAATTTTGATATAGTAATATAAATACTTCACATCTACATATACTATCAATATATTTACATATATAATAGAAGTTTAGATTTTTAACAGCATAGTATATAATCAAATCTACTGTATTCATTAAACTTGAGGTTTTTTATTTTTTATTTTTTAATATTTCTTAGATAACTTTCAGTTATCTAAGAAATGTTATCTAAGTTATCTAAGTTATTCGACTTAATTAAATAAATTATATCTAAAATCGAATCAAAACACAAATAAGAGATATTAAGATAATACATTTATTTATAGTAGTATAAAAAAGTTGATATAAGAATAAATAATGAAAATAATTTTAAACAATAAAATCGTAACAATTTCTTAAAATTAATAAAACAGAAGTTATTCCGTTCATTCTATGAATAAAAGATAAAGGAACAGATCACACACTTGAAAATAATGGGCTGTGTTGGTTCCAAAAAATCTGTTTTCAGTTCACAATCTGCCTGTGAACAGTGAGTTTTAGTTAGTTATTTTTCCAAATTTTTAAATACAGTATATTTTAATTGTAACAATGTGTTTACAGGGAAAAAGAAATAGTTGAGAAAAAGCAGATGTATTCGTTTTCTCCATCTACAGAAGAGGTAAGCGAAAAACCAGTTTGTCGCAGGTATTATTCACCAACTCCTCCAGATCCATTCACTCATTGGTATGAAAGTAAAAAAATATACGTGAATCCACCAGAATCCAGCAAAAGAGAAACATTTTATAAGTACGAATTCCCCATCTCGAATTATTTACCTAAAGAAGAAAAGCAGCAAAATTACCGTTTACCTTTTTATTCGGATTCAATATTTGATTATGAATTACTTTTAAAATCGAAACAGAGCTCAATGAATCTATTTACAAAAGCTGAACTGGATGAGATGCTCAGTAATATTATATGCACGCAGCAATCGGATGAGGCTTGTGGTGGAGAGCGTTCAATCACTAGAATAGAGATATTTACTCCAAATAAAGAAGATAAGGAGAAAAATTCGGAAAAATCAACAAGCCAAGCAAGTTTTATTTCAAAATGTATCGGAAAACAGATTATCAAGTTTATTTTTACACATTTTCAACCATAAAAAAGTCAGTTTTTAATTAATTAAAATGAAGTTAGATCTTAAAAAAGATTAGGCGCATTTCTATTTTAAAAATTAAATTTCAGTGAATTGTGTTAATTCACTTTTTTATGGAATAGCTTCTACCAGTTTACTGTAGTGTACAAATAAAATATCATACAAAGCTACGCACTCAAATAGAATTGTTCGATAACTACAAAACTCAGCATATAATTGTGCCTCAGACAGGTATGTTTAGTGTGGTACAGTTAATACCAATATCAGTGTCCTATAAAATGCATTGCAGAGGCTCACCGTATTCAGAATTTTCAGTGTAGCTGTAGTTTGGAGGTCTTCGAACGCCAGGCGTGTCTGTACGATGTGGTTAAAGACATTAGGAAGTGATATTCGAGAAAAGTAGCTTCATCGAAAAGTAGGATGGCCGTTTCGCCGAATTATCCGCCATCTGGGTAATTAATCCGGTTTGCAGGCTCTGTATGCCACAGATAGTGGCACGTTATCTTATGGGCAAACAGGGCAGTTGCCTAGGACCCCACCAACAGGAGGTCCCAAACCAATCTTTTATGAACTCATTACTGTACTAAGATTATCGAAATTTAAATTTGGGCCATATCTGGGGACCCTAGGTTGCCGGTATGGTGCAAGCGCAGGGTGTAATGGCACAGCGCAGAGGTCGCGTCATGAAACGAATAAGAATAACGGGGATTCACCCAAAATTCCCCAAACAAAAATGCTCGAAGTCAATACTGTATATGGGGTCCCCTAATTCAAATTTGCCTAGGGCCTCATGAATCTATAACGCGCCACTGGTCCCAGACTGACCATCGGGAAAGATGATCACATGTTACAAGCACGAACAGCTGCAACGGCGCCATTGTCCATCATTCATAAACAGTGGAAACCTCGCCCGTATCTCTTCCTACCTCTACCATGTCTCTACCCTCTCTGTTTGACTTAGCGACGAATTTCAGTTCAGTTTGGGAATAGACGACCACTTTGTTAGTGTGTGAAAGGCCACTGCTAAGCACTTCAATCCCCCGACTGTTGAGTGGCACACTGCCCTCGCTGCTGGAATGCTGGTCTAGTAAGCCATCTTGCGTGATGGTCATTCTTAGTAGGGTATTGTCGGCACAGTTGTACAGAGGGTTTACGAAATCCTGCACCCTCTCGTGTCAGAGCTAAAAACAACCATTTTCCAGGGGTTCTCTGGAATGTATGTTTCAGTTACATTGCCACAATTGCTTGGCCTGTTCGTTCTTGAATAAAAAATCCCGAAACAGACATAGATTAATTTTTTTAAATTAATATAGATATACAGTACGGTCGCGCTAATTCGAACTAATTGAGACCAGTCATAATTCGGATTAACGGGTGTACGATATTAGAAATGTGATGCTTACTTTTTGAGGCCATTTTTTACTGTTGTAAGATACTATAAAGGAGCAAATAGATGTTAGAATTATTGTTAAGTCAAGCAGGATCACAGAAAGAATAAGCCGCAATGCTCACAACACATGAATTATGTTTATTTTACACGTGAAATGCAAGTGTACAGTAGACAAGTCCATTGTTTTAGTTAGGGAAATGGTAGAGGGGTTCGGATCAGCGTGTATATTATATTTACCGTCGTATACAGTATTTTATTTTTCAATAAAGATTATAAATGTACTAAAAATTATTAATTTTTCAAATTACTTTAGAAAATGGGGTGAGCATTATACACCAGAAATTACAGTAATAAACTCCCATAAATTTTGATTTTTTACCTTATAATTTCAATTAACAAAATCTAAAATACAGAAAGAGATAAATGTAAAAAAATAAATAAAGAATTTTTAAAAAAAAATCAAAACAAACGATAATTTTTGTTTTCAATTTTTAAATAATATGACAAATAACTGAAAATTTTTAATTAAATTTAATATTATATTATTGAATTCATTATAGTTTTTTTAAAAAAAAGAAAAGAAAAATTCTCTTTTGACAAAATAAATGAGAAAAAATAAAATAAAAATAATAAAATTCAGCATATTTTTACGCACATTTTCTATTGTAAATATTCCATCAAAGAGTAAATTTGATGGGATTTTTAATGATATAAAAAAAAAAAAAAAAATAGGAGAAAGTTTTAAAATAAGGAATGTGATTTTTAATTAAATTATTCATTATTCAACGTATTTGTACATTTTAAAAAATTATTATTATTATTATTATTATTTTATATACTTTTACAGTATATTAAAGATAAAAGTGTCAGGCTTATTTTCTATTGTAAATAAGTTTTTGGCGCATGTTTAACAAGAAATATTAAATTTTTCGAGTAAAAAAAAACTTTATTTTTAATTAAATTTCCGATTTTTAAATCAATTAATAAAATTTATTTATTTATTTCTCTTTTCTCTCGCTTCATAAAACGATTTTTCTATTTTAAAATGTTACGAGATGTATTTAGTAAATTTTTAAATGTTATATATAAATTTAAATAGCTTAATATATGTATATAGAAAAATCTAATATTCTACGTTTGTTTTTACTAGAAAATATATGAAATTTTAAATGTCAAACGATTCCCTCCTCCTTATATTATCCGAGACATTTTCTAACTCCATTAAACTCGGTTGAAATAAAATATAAGAGAATAAAAAGTCCACTAGAAAATACACACATATATATATATATTTAAAAAGGTGTTTAAAAAATCTTTAAATTTATTTTAATAAATTACTTGTAAAAAAAAAGTCTTATTTAATTATAAATTGTTGTGAGTTCAATTATCGTAGCGCCTAAGATGAAGAAGATTTAGAATTATTATTATTATTATTGTTATTACCCCTATTGTTAAAATGGTATTGTTCTAAATTTATCTTCTAGTTTTGACCTTCTCCATTTGGAGTAGCATTATCTTAGGGAACAGAACCCATTTATTGATCAGTAAAGGTATATAGTTAATACAGGTGTATGCAGCACACAAAACTGTTCCTCTTCAGTAACCAGAAGGGTTATATTTTAACATTATTCAACCTAGAATAAATTCCTATTCTTATAATTTATTAAATTATTCGCTTAAGATAATATTCCCTTTAATATTTTACACGAGATAGGAGGAGAATACTGTACTTTATATGTCATTTATCTAATCTATTATGATGCTTAAGAATGTCCCCTTTATTCGCTTTATAACTAACATAATAAGAAAAGTACTGTTATTATAATTAAATATGCAGTAAAACTTGCCTAAAGAGAAAGAAAAAAGTAATAATAATTCTTCGGAAAGGAGCGATTTGCTGTTTTTTTTTTAAGCAGAAACCTACCAAACAGAGAAAAAAAAGAAAACATATTCCGGTATGAACAGGTTATAAATTTATTTNAAATATTTTATCTTTCGAATTTTAAATTAATTTTTTTTATAAAAAAATAAATTAGTATTTATTTGTAGATGGCGTACGGTAGATATTTATAAATTCATTACAGTTCAGTTCTGCTATTGGAGGAACGAAGCTGTTGAATTCTTTCAAAACCGTTAGCGATAGAAAAGTAGTAAAAAAAAGTATTTTATTATTATTTAAGTTAGAAAATGGCTTCACAGAATGTCGATCCACTTTTCACACCAACTTCGAGTAAACTGGCGGAGGAAAAGAAGTCTTCTGAGTCAGGAAAACATTCGGTTACGAAAAGGTAAGTTTAAGCCTAATCCTATAACAGTCAATTTCAAAAAGTTTACTAACGAATTTGAAATTATATTAGTAATTATATTTATATTTTCGAACGAATTATTATATAAATAAATAAGAATATTTTGAAATTTGAAAATGTAAATATTAAATTTATATAACGACAAATTTGTTAACGTTAAATTCGATTTACAACGGTAATTCTCAATTAGCACGTGTTTATTGAAATGTATTAATTAATATCTAAACACGTGCTAAATGATACTTGCCATTGATTAATTTTTAAGTGTCATTTAATATTCTTTTAGTAAAATGAAACTTACAAAACGATTTAAAATATTCAAAATACAAATAAATATGCTCATTCCCTTTAAGGAAATATAATTTATAATAATAATTTCCATTTTCTCATTTCATCAATTAAAGATTTAACTAAATCCTCCTAATTTCTAACAGTTAAAATTATGTAAACTAAATTTTTGTAAATCATTAATTAATATTCTATACTCTTACAAAGTAATTAGTGAATCATGCAAAATTTTAATTAATTTGTAATAAACAAAAATATTGTTATTTCAAAGAAATTAAATTCTAAACTTGAATGTCATTTTTAATTTTGATTTGTAATGATTAAAAATTTGGCACTAAAGTTTAAAACTTATACTGTATTCGTGTGTTATCCAAAATGAGATTGAAATTGTTATTATTGATCATTTAATATTGTGTGCAAATATAAAATAATTGCAAAAGCAAGTTATTTGAAATTTAAAGAACAAATTTTAATTTGAGCTGAAAAACTAGGCAAATTTTTTTTTTTTGAATAAAAAGATACATTTATTTATAGTTTTCTGGAAGATAGAACTTGGAAATACGAGAACTTATTGAGGGAGGTCATTTCACAATGCAGTTTAGGATAAACAAAATAAGGAATAAATTATCAAACCAAAATTAATACCCTGTTTTAGTTAAATACTGATGACAAAAGATGGTTTTCAAGAAAAGTTTATTATTAATAGTCTAAAATTAGAAATTAAGAAAAAAAACCTGTAATGCAAGAATAATATAAAATTACCCTAAAAATTTTTGAAGTATCTATCTAAAATGAAACTATAAAAAAATCCAAATAATTTGTAAATTATTGTCTGTATTTGTATAATATATATATAGTTGGATAAAGCTATTTAGCAACAGTGAACATGTAATTAAGCAAACTTTTACGTCATATTCTTAAATATTTGAACATCAGAGGAAAAAACGTCATTTTTATTAACAAAAGAAATATTCAAGGTTGTATCTGAAGATTTTGGTGTAATGAAAACCAAATTGGCTCATTGTGAAATATAATTGAAGTGAGAAGATTATTTATATGTAATTTAAAATTTGTAATTGAACCATAAATATCTGAAAATAGTTACCTTAGTTTTAATTTTAAAACTTAAAGAAATGTGAAAATGGGAATTTTGGTTCAGTATAAAATATGTACTGGTTAAAAATTTTTTTGTTTTGTACCTTTAAAAGTTAGAACAAGGATATAATGGAAATTTTACATTTAAAGGAGTCATTAGGGAATGTTTAATTAATGTGTTGATTGATTTGTAAATACAGTAGTTTCAAAAATTCTTCACATCCAAAATGACGCACATTATCACTTTTCATTTATTTTTTTAAATTAAATTCTATTTTTATAAAATATATAATGTAGCTAAATTTATTGTTTTTAGATTATTTTATTTTTCATGTAGTGCTATAAAACTGATTTCAAAGTACTATGTAAGAGTTGAGTTGTAGGATTACAATTCAAATAATACATTATTACAATTACAAGTAAAGAAAATAAAAAGAGCTGTAAATTATTTTACAGGGTTACGAGAAAAATAAATTGTCTTGGAAGGTAAATAATAAACTGTTTGTTATATCACTTTAATAATTCAAATTTAAATGCAGTAGTCTATTGCATTTAAATTTGAATTGCTGTTGTCCCATTTCTGTTCTTTTAGCCTGGTGATTGAAAGCACCTGTGAATTGTTTGTTTTAGTGAGTTTTGTTAAGACTGAAATTCTTTATCCATAATTGTATATTTTGATATGGATCTGTAGTATTTTTAATTTTACAAGGTTGTATCTATGAAATCATAATTAGTTCATTAATTTTTGATTATAGGAATTAGTGATATGAACATGTGTTCCTATTTCAGGTAAATGTCTAATCTAATTAAACATATTAGAAATAAAGATGTCAAATTATTAATGAATAGTTGGGAGTGTTGAATACTTTAAATAAAAAAAAAATGGAATAATGTTTAATTTAGTCAAAAATAGTTTGCTCATTTTATAAATTTTTATCTATCTATATTACTTTCACATTATCATACATTAAATGATCCAGATCTATCATAAAAAATCAGACTGATAGTCAAGGAAAATAAAACTAGAACTAAATTTTTGAATATAATACTTTGATAAGCAATTCCATAAGCTGGTTTCTATAATTTCAAGAATCATCATTTATACTATTATGTAATAAATTGAATGAAAAGGAAAACACAATGCATTTCATCATTTCTAGTTTCATCAATAAATTTTTCTGTGGATATTACAAAATTCAATAAATTATGATGACTTAAGTAAATGACGAATAAAAAATCTGTTTTATTGTTTGTTTTTACTATTATATAAACAAAAAATCATGTAATGGTGATTTAAAATTCAGAATTTTCTTTTTGTTCAAATAATCTTTTCTATATTGCAATATTCTTCTGCAAATTCTATAATATTTAATGTTTTATGCATTTATTATAATTTAGGATGATGATGATTCATAAAACTTCTTCAAATTATAAACATTAATAATAACTGCAAGATTCCAAGATTAATTTTCCTTCTTTTTGTTTTTATACTATTTACTTGTTGTATTTTATGTATTCTAATAAGGATTTTACTGTTAATGAGGGGTGTTGGAAATCTAATGGCGCAAGACTTTTCATATTATAATTGAAAATAGGATACAAATTTTTATGGAAAGAAAAGATAGATGGATTAATGATTGTAATAATTCTTTATGAAATAGCAATATTGGATAATTACAAAACTTTTTGTAACAAAAATCTTGTGGACGATTAGTATTTGGGAATTTTTCCAAACCTGTATTTATAAACTATGAACATATTAAAGATAATAGAGTACTATAAAGTTATTTTAACAATTTTGAAATAACATAATCTTATATAATGTGATGATCTTAATTTTTATGATTGTTATCTAAAAGACTTACAAAATTAATCATTAACTCAAATAGTACAGGAAATTTGTAAATATAATCCACTAGATTTGTGTTGTACTACATAGATAATGAAAATTATCTATTTTATAGTTCCATTAAATTTTTTGAGAGCGATTTTTTATTTATTTTTTTTTTTTATTTTTTTCCCCCTCATACAATTCAGTTTTGATAGAAATTTATTTAATTTTATTTATATTAATTATTAAAGAATACTTTCAATTTTAATTTTACTGCATAAAATAAGACATGAAATTTGATTTGTAACCATTTATTGTTTTATATATATACATTATACTTTATTACATTTTATATGCATTACATTTTTATACATTAGAGTAATGTATTCCCCAAATTTTAATGTCTGTTGGATAATTGGTTTTGATTTGCATGAACCTTTGCTTGCATATTCTAGAAGCTCTCAACTCCCATGTAAATCACAATTTGTACTGTGGTTAACTGATATGTTCTTAATTACTTTTAAAATTGTTCAATGTAAATACTTCTATACTTCAGCTGAAAATTTTGAATACGTAATGAAAATGAAGCTTAAACTATTATACTATTAGCATCGATATAGCCTGAAAAATAATTTAATTATAGATATGTCTGAATTTAATTAAAAAGTAGGTTATATTTCTATTAATTATAAATTTTGAATTTAATTAAATTTGAAATTCTGGAGAAAAATTTACCTAGAGACTAGAGTGAATCAAACTCATAACTTTTGTTTGCTTTGCAGGTGTATAACTAATTATGCAACTTAAACTGTCAGATATTTTCTTTTAAGCACACATTAATTTGGACTATAATATATAATATGCTAGGATACCATATATTATAATTGCCTATTCTGACTTTGTAATGAACACACTGTTTTTAATGGTTTAAACTAAATCATATAAACAGTTTCATCAATAATTTTAAATTCTGATTTGATAATCAGTTTGAAGATACCTCAAAAACATCTATAGTTTTAATTTTGTTTTCTTAATTGGACTGCAATTTGAAAAAATTTTAGACTTGGACAGATGACAGTGGGAATTTATATCTGTCTTTCCTTAATCTCAAGAATGGAGTTAGATAGGTGAAAGACGATCAGATATAGAAACCTTAGGGAAAAGATGCCCTGATTAACTACAAACAAACTTCTGATGCAAATTGGAAGTCATGTTATTTCAGTTCAAAAATTTTTCCCTGAAAGGTATTAGGTAACTAACCAGTGTGACTATTGTTAAAGGAAAAGTATGATATACAAAGGCAAGCCACTGATAATTTGATATGGAGAGCATATATTGTAAATTAAGTAGATTAAAAATTGCAATTCAGCATTGTAACAATGTCACAATAAATAATTGCTTGTTTAAGGTTATTTAGTTAAAGTTGATCATTGTTTTCATTTAAATTTGCAAGTATGCACAAAATTTAGTGTTATACTAAATAAGAATTTAATTTTCTTTCAAAAGATTTTATTAGTAGGTTAAATCAGTAATATGTTTACTTAATGCACTGCTATGAATTATATGTACAAGAGGTGAAAATAAAATTATTTATTTAAACAGTTTAAACGTTTTAAATGATTAAAAACTTTTTAAGTGAGACTTAGTTCAGTAAAGAAGAGATGATGACTCAATTATCTAAACCAATGGTTCTCAATGGGGGGCCAAGGAACATTTCAGGGAGGCTACAGAAAAGATTCAGAGTCACAAGAACTACCAGGAGACCAACAGAGCTATAAAAATAGAATAAAAAAAATTTATTTTCTGTTATATTATATTTTGTGTAAATTGTGTCACATTATAGAAATTCTAATTGAAAATCCAATAATAAGAAAAACATAGTTCAGAGAAAATTATTTATATGATGAAATTAAACTAAAATTCAGAGATATACTAGAAATGGAAGTCCTAGAATGGATGGTAGATCCAATTGGAATAAATGTGACTATTATGGATCTGGGACTTCAAGAATGTCTTGTGGATTTGCAGTGGTTTGACACTTCATGATAGATTTGGAACAACTGAGACAAACTCTGGCTAATTAGCTGAAAATTCAATAAACATAACAGATCTTTATACCTAATCTGTTTAGAAATTTTCATAACAGATGAGTGACTTTACTAAAACCCACTTCAACAAATTTTACAAAGTTTGTTGAGTTTAATGGGTCTGTATAGTCACCCTGACTATACAGACCCATTAAACTCAACAAACTTTGTAAAATTTGTTGAAGTGGGTTTTAGTAAAGTCACTCATCTGTTATGAAAATTTCTAAACAGATTAGATATAAAGATCTGTTATGTTTATTGAATTTTCAGCTAATTNGATGATATCTGAAAATTATTTTCTTAAATAAAATTATACTCTAAAAGTAACAATTGTATGCTTTCATAATTTATGAATAAATACTTCGTTTCGTAGCCGAGTGAAATTCAACAGTTTATCTTACTAAAATTTAGTTTGGCTTTGAAGCACGTTCATAATTGGTTCGATCAGGCCCACAATGAAAACATTCCAATGATGAAAGGTAGGACTCGACCTATCCGAGATGGATAGTCCAAGAAAAATTCTTAGGGTTCCTTGCCCGGATTGGGTTTCGCGTTTCCAGAGTGGTAGGCTGACGCCTTTACCTCCTTGGCCATCCGGCTGAATATTTTAAAGACGAATCGACCAAAAGAAAAATCAATTATATATGAAAACTTAACAAGCTAGAATATACTATATGGAGTGGCTGTGACCATGGCTACAGCGTTCTTAGTGGCAACGATGGATACCATCGACCGCCATTTTACTTTCAGTCAAAACATTGAAGTCTGTACCGCGTGTTAGGCAGGATTGTCACTTTAAAATCTATTTTTTTCATCTAAATCTATATTGTTTTGTTTTCCCCAAGATTTGAGGTTTAGGAATTAAATAACTGATATAAATCTAAATTGTTTCTTCTCGAATTTAGCTATTTTCTAGATTTNGAAGTCTGTACCGCGTGTTAGGCAGGATTGTCACTTTAAAATCTATTTTTTTCATCTAAATCTATATTGTTTTGTTTTCCCCAAGATTTGAGGTTTAAGAATTAAATAACTGATATAAATCTAGATTGTTTCTTCTCGAATTTAGCTATTTTCTAGATTTTATTTAATCATTATAAAGAAGGTAAGATCAGAGTTTACGACTACAGTAGACCCCCTATAACATGGTAGATACGTTTCGCTTTATAAGAATTTCGCGTTGTAGGAATCATTAAATACATGAGCCAATCACAGCCCGACACGTGTGAAGTTTACGGACTACGGCTGTTTGAAAGGTTTTCTTCCATAAAATTAATCGATTCTAGACTAATTCGACTCAATATTTCCAAAATACGTATAATTTTTTGGGAATANGATGATTGTTCCTTGCTATTTGTTTGTCTTGTTTTGGCTCATAGAATCCTCAAAGTCGGAAATAGAAAGAGTATAATTTTTACTTGTTTTTTAACTAAAAATTTTTTATTTTTAGTGTGTTAATATTACCACCGATCCCATTGGTTTTAATAATTGAATGAATAATGTCATCAAAACTTGCAGGTCCCAAAACATGCAAGTTATAATACATTATAAAAACTTTGCTTATTGTAATCAAAATTTGGTATTTAATTACTTTTGTAGTATACTAGATACAGCCATGATGTAGGGAACATTATAAACAAAAAACTTTGTAATAAACAAAATTAGAAAAAACAAATGCCAAAAATATTGATATAAATGTATAAAATATACAGCATAGAAATAATTACCTGACAAAGCAAAGCTGAAAATCATTAAAATACATAATCAAAATATATACTGTTACTAAAATAAAATTGTCAAATATATTAAAGTAACAAGAACTAGTCCACTGACCCAGTTCTAAAGTATTAACACAATTCTTCTTAAAGATAGAATACTTATCTGCCAATCATCAGGAATTGTAGCAATCAAAAATTCTGAGAAAATATAGAAGATATTGCTTTAAGTTCTGAATATTTCAAAATTCCAACAGTATTCCATCAGTCCCCAGAACTTAATCTCCTTCAAAGCAATGTCCAGTTCAGATTCTGTAATTTCTGTATCTAAAAAATCATCACATCAGTTAACACAATAATTAAATAGAATTATTCACTAAATAAGGTTCATTAGCAACCAAATAATTCATAAAAATGATAATACTACTGATCAATAGATACATACTTAACATCACAAAATTACTTTTTGGGACCCAATGAAAAAAATTAATTTCAAAATAGTCTATTATTCTTTGCAAAACTGTTCTATGTTTTATATCAATACATAATTTTGTTACCATACTTCATACCATAAAATGCATCAATCACATAAGTTATTTTCCTAAAAAGGTCTATTCTGTGTTATATTAGCATATTACAATCAGCATCAAACCAAGATCACTGCAATTTTTTGTTCTTATATTTAAAACTTTTCATGAGTAACCTTGAAAATAAAATTGTTTAAATCATTATTGAATCAAACTGCAAGGATTCAGAAGCAATCTCTAATGATGCAAAAACCAATTTTTCTCTTCTAGATTCATTCCAAAAATTTCTATTAAAATCATTTATTCCTAAAAACACTATATTTTGCTCCACTGATGATTGTAAAATTAAAGGAGAGTGATCAGAATACAAATACTGATCACAAAATGACTGCAAATGGATTCAGAAAGTACATTTCCCTACTCCAATTCTTCCACTAAAGTTGCATGCAGTCACTAAATCATTATTGTTCTCTAGAACCAAATACAGAAACATATTCAAAATATCTTGCCAGTTTAATTTATTTGTTTATTTACAAGAACAAAAGTGTTTCATAATTCAGGACCAAGTTTAACCTGTCCTACGTTGTTCCCGAAAATATTCGTGTTGACTTCATTGAACTGCGTGGGCGATCCTGAATATTTTCGTGTTTACATCGGAACATTTTGATACTAGATGTCGCTGTGCGTCACAATTTTTATATTAAAACGAACTTTTAAAATATAATATATATATTTTTTTAGGCTTAACATCGACAAAAATTCAACATGGCGTCACAGGCAACAAATAAAAATTTCAACATAGAATCGGTTAAGAAAACAGATCTGATCACCAATAACTAACCAGCACAGAAACAACCTCTAGAATGAACACTAAATGCTTTACTGAAAAGTAACTTACAATTCATTAAATATTCCTGCAATTCAGAATCTATTCCAGTAGAATCATACCAAGTTTCCAAAAGAAAGATCATGTCAAATTATAGTAAATAATATCAAAAACTGACCGACTGATTAAATAAAAACACAATTCTAAATCAACAAACTTCCTATGCTTGGAAATTTCTATGAAGACATAATCTTAATTAATAGAAACCACATTATAAAAATATTTCACATCAATTGAGCCATTGTTTTTGAAAGTGGTGTAAGTCCATTTATTCATACATTGAGATATTTAAGCATTTGCATTTGTCAATACTTTTAGTTGATTCAAACATTAAGAAATTCAGATAATGTCTTTAAACATATAAACTTGTTAAATTTTATTATGTAATAATAACTAATAAAATTGTTTAAAATTATTTTTTTAGCTACAAATGGAAAATATGAACAATAATTTGTGGTGTAATAAACACTAGTATTGTTTTTATTCTAAAGACACAATACTAGTTATTACGCCACAAATATAAAACAGGACACGGTTTCAAAAAGAAAATGAACAATAATAATTAAAATGAGAGCATGCGAGTAAATGAATAATTGACTTCATTAAGAAATATTTTCAGTAATATTATATAAGAATTTATAAATAAACAACTATGAAAAGTAAATTACTTCGTTAAGATAACTATAAAAGTTGCCCAAATGAAAAGTGGACACACGTCATATTTCATCAATCAAAATAGCGATTGGTAGGCCACCTTACAGGTGGGGGAAGCTCAATGTAGGCAAAGTGTGGGCTGCATTAAGTATTGGCAGGAATAGATTTTATCTCCAGTAATTGTCAGATTAATGGTAAGTTAGTTACAATGGATGCATCCAGAATTGAACAATGGACGGTAGTTTGGTCTTTAGTAGCCAAAGGGAATAGGAGTGTTGACATCTATAGACAAATGAAGCATGTTTATGGTGAACATTGTTTAGGACAAACATCAGTGAATAATTGATGCAAGAGTTAGAGAAGGCTGCAAGTCAATTCAGGATAAATCAAGATCAGGTCAGACACACACACTATGATCTCCACTGCATCAATTGCTGTTGGTTGACTTTATGCCACCACACACAATGATTAACTCAGAATGCTATTGCAAAACTGTCATGGTTGTGCAAACCAATAAAGTCAAAGTGCCTGGGATTCCTCACAAAAAGTCATCTTGCTTCACAACAATGCTCGTCCCTATATGACAAGTGCAATCAGTGCCACGTTACAGAAATTCCACTGGGAGATACTAGAATGTCCATCATATAGTCCTGACCTGTCACCATGAAACTTTCACATATTTTTATCAGCAGCCATCAAAATTGATGAGAGGCATTGATCTGCTTGTGAGATGCTGGGATCTTTGCCTAAACAAGCATTGATATTTCTTTTAGATTCACAATAAATGTTTGCCAGTTCTGATATGTGGCCACTTTTCATTTGGGCAATCCTTATACTGTATTAACAACAAATATATTTATTGAAATATATACATTTGTTGTTAATATAAGGATTGCCGAAATGGATTATCTTATTTCTCTTTTACATTTAGCATTAGCTATTATCTGTTATAAAGACTTTAAGGAAAATTGTTTTAGTTATTGATTATTACGAATGGATTTATTTCACTTTCAAAAATTAAAGAAAAAAAAGACAATTCTTGCAATAACATTTTACAGTTAAACTTATTTTAATTTATAACACTATTGTACACCATTGACTTTGTTGTTATAAATATAAAAAGAGGACATTTATGCCTGACTAAAACTGTCATTAATGAATTTTTTTCCAAAAGTGGACTTATATTACTGTCAAAAACAATGGCTCAATTAACACATTATCATACATTTTTATCAAATATGCACCAGATAGCTTTTATTCTCTACCTAAAAGGTGTGATGTCTAGCCCTAATCTCTTAAATTTGATGAGAAATCATTCTTTATAAAAAAAAAAATTGCTCAGTACTCAACCAAACAACATTATCTACTAGAAGAAATTTTCAGTTAATAACAAATATTTTTAACTTTAATTTTGTCATCCATAAAAAAAATTTCTATGCTAAAAATTAATAACTAATTTAAAAATGAAGTCCCAGAGTTGATTATTTTCATCAGACTAAATTATACTTGATTCAGGTTTTTTATTTCTCCACTTAATGTATGTGGAACCCAATCATCATATTTTGCAACTATTCAGTCATTGAAGTCTATTGCAAGAAAATCATGTTTCTCATACACAGTATGTCTCATGATTTTCTTGCAAGTTCATGAGTTGTTGTTTGTTGATTTTTATTTCAATTTCTTCCTGTAATTTCTTTTTGTCAACAGTTTACCCTTGTATATCCTTTAGTTCAAAATTTCCAGAATGGAATTTTTTAATTCACATTTGGTGCATTCAAAGTTTAGGTGCATCTTATCCACACACATTATGAATATTTTTTACAGTTTCTATTGTCTTATATCCTTTCTGAGACTCAAAGTACAGTATGCTGGATATACATATTATCTGTAGATAATTAAACTTGATTTTACTGAAAAGGTGAAGTAAAAAGTTTAAAATATGCTTCTAAACAAAGAATACAATCTCACATTAACAATGAGTTAAATTTCACAACTGCTACAATTATAAGTAAGTACAGTTGTTAAAAATATGCAAAACTTTGTTCAATCCAATAAAATTAATAGAAATATTTTACCACACTGTGTTATGTGTGGATATTTTTTGGTTCTTTATGATTTATGCATGCTAGGCTTGTAAACATCTTGTACCACTTGTAAACTGAGGTGCCACTGTTCTACTATCTGGTAACTGCATACTTTCCTTAATTTAAAGTTAACCCCTGAAACCATAATTTCCTCTTATTGTAGTCTTATTTACTTCACATAGTATTATGGTTATAATAAGCAGTGTCTACTGTGTATTTTATACAATTGCATAAATATCAAAATTATTGTTTTTATGCATATATTTGTTGTTTGCAGTTCATAAATTTATTTGAATGTAAATACTTATTACTGTTAAAGTTCAGTTCCTACATTATATATTAAACATAATGTGAATTTAAAAAATGGATTATAATATTAAAGAAATATAATTATTTGTTTGCAATAATATATCAGAATAACTATTGACTTTGTTATCAAACTATAAAATAACAAAATAGTTGTCATAAAATAACTAGAATGTGTAGATATTATATTTGATAAAAATTTTATTGCATTGATTTTACTTTTTCTTTTGTTAAATTCAAAGATATTACTAAGTAGACTTTTGACCAAATGTAATAAATGTAGTTTTTTTTTTAAATTTGAAATATAACATTACTAAATTACATACATTGAAACATAGTCTTCAAATACAGATGATTTTTTTTCCTGTAGTTTTGCATTAATTTGCTTAAAATTAATCATTCTTAAGATTTTAATCCAAAGATAATAAATAATTTATTCAAAATATTACCTAAATCTATTTTTGAGAATTTAATTAACTTCAGTATCCAGAAGAAAACATATAGAATGTTCATCATTTCAAAATTTATTAGGAATATATTATTATAATACTTACACTCTATTTCCAGTAAATCAAATCTGTACAACAAAAATAATTGAATGAACAATAATTTGCAGTTGAGCTGTTGTTAGTATTTTGTACATTAGATGTCTTACAGAGAATACAGTAGAGCCTCAAACTCGGCACTTGATAACCCAGCACTCCGGATAACTCGGCCACACCCTGGCAGGGCAAAAATAACCTTATACAGTGGAACCCCGGTTAACGAACGTCCTGGTTAACGACCAAATCGGTTAACGAACTATTATCTTTTAAAAATTTTGTCTCGGATAACGAACAAAATTCGGATAACGAACTTAACGGCTTTTTGTGTCAAATTTGTAAGCTTGCCGACTTTTAGGGAAAATCAGTTAATCGTGTGTCGGTGATGGTCTAGGGTCCATTCGTACGTTGGTGATGGCGGAGGAGACAAAGATGACAAGTATTTTACAGTGAAAATCGTTTATTAGAACGGGAAGATGCTTACATATTTGAGGTAGTTGGAAATGGCTTATCTACAGTATTTTCTCTCGGCACTGAGGAGTGGCGTATCGCTGGTCCTACGATAGTGCAAGCTGATCAGTCGTAGCCCCAGAGCGGACGAGATGGGTTCGCTTGGTCACAGAAGCGATGGTAGGTGAGAGCCGCAAGACTGGAGCGGTCCGCGAGACACAACACAAATTTTAGCGGGAACGACTTCAGGCTTAATCCAAACGAAGACGACACAGATTAATCGCCATAGAATTTTTAGGAAACTGCGTTTTTACCTTGATATTCGGGTTTTTATAGTATTTCTTCGTTGAATCTCACCTTACGATTTGTCCTGTGTCCCATTCCTCGCTTCCCGATTGTTTTCTTCTTTGTCTCCAGGTGAAAACCGAAACCAGATCAGGTCACAAGGTTTGTTCCGAGGCGTTTATTTGACACCTGTTCGTCGACTCTGATCGGAGATTGTTGATAAACCTATAAGCCTTTCGCTCATAATTTAGCCTATTGTTTCTGCTATCTGTCATTTTAGAACTTTAACGATCGTATGTGATGTTTTTTATACCCGTCAAATCTTTCCTTTTTTCCGAAAATTTAACGTAGATCGACTGTTTATGAGCACGTTTTCCTATATTTTCATTAAAGAAAACCCATTTTACAAATAAAATTACAAAAATACTGTCGGCTAGAACGGATTAATTGTATTTGCATTAATTTCTATGGGAAAAATTGCTTCGGTTAACGAACGGACTTGTGGAACGGATTACGTTCGTTAACCGGGGTTCCACTGTATAATTAATTTTCATTATAGACAGCTTTATGCCTCATAAATCTGTCTATGATGAGGTCTGTCTTATCAGGTAAATTACTGTATACTATGTATTCATTAATTTTCATTTTCATGTAGTAAAGGCTCTATGCCTTCATAAAGTACGTACTTTCCTTTGTTTAAGGGTATTTGGGCAGTTTGCTTGAGAATACAACAGCGAATAAACAATACATAGAAGTACAGTACAATATTTTCTGAGGAAACACGCATACTTATCCTTTTTTAACCCCATTCCTGATAACTCTGCATTTTCACAAACTCGGCCACCCTTCGGTCCACATTAGGCTGAGTTTTCGAGGCTATACTGTATTAACTATGAATAGGCCTTATTACAGAATTATTCTAAATTTTGCATTTATAAAGTCAAAAGAAATCTGAGCTCTCATAAATTTTTATTGTATAGTTATATGCTAAGAATATTTTGTTTTTCTTAATAAATTAGGCAAACAAATTTAAATATTTGCATTAACTTGCACAGAATCATTGTCATGTTACTCAATATTGTTGTTTGTCTTGGATCCTTATTTACAAACAAGGATAAGAGCTTGAGATAGAAGTTAAGCAATAAGCTTGAGATAGAAGTTAAGCTAAAAGTAAATGGTAATTGATTAACTTTTAATTTTTAATCCTTGGTTGTGGATATGATTATTAGGTGGATCTATTTTCAGATATGATATTTATATCAAGTTGTGATGATTATTATTTAAATGACTGCAATAAGAATTTGTTTCTTGCTCTGTTCTAAATGTACTGACTTTTTCATTTGTTAAAGTTAATTTAATACTTCCAGATGTGCACTGATAAAGGAATATCTGCTTTTCCTGATGGAGAAAATTTATTTCGATGGATAGGAACAATTCAAGGTCCTAAAGGAACAGTAAGTTTTTAAGATTAAAATATTACTGTTGGTTTATACAGGTTTTTATTTCTGACATGATACTTTAACAATTTTTTACTCTTATCTGAAGTGCATTTGTTATATTTTTACTTTATTTTGACTGTAGTGAAGGAAAGACAAATAGCATTGAGTGAAATTAAAGAAAAACAAATTTTTTTTATTAAAGTTACTTATTATTACTTATTATTATTCTAGACAGAATAATAATAATCTAGCATGTAATATTAAGATCAGTTTAAATATAACTTCTAGAACACTGTCATTGATTACAAATGTCCCTTGATAAACACGGTTAATTAATCCCTCGATGCTACTGTGTATATCAAAATTGCATTAATCAAATAGATGTACCGTACTCTGTGCTCGATTGAACAATCACCACCCACTAGAACAAATTTTCTGTTAATAACAATATTTTTATTTTAATAAACGAAAATAGTAAATTTACCAACACCAACAAAGTTTTTTGCCAAGAAAAACATATCAGACAAAAAATTAACACACGTAAACTGGAAAGATATACTACACACAACACTTAACACCTCAATACTACTTCCAGCAGTCAAAAGATTTTAATATTCTAACGTTTTCGGCCGTCTTTTAGAGGCCCTCTTCAGGATGAAACATTAAAAAACAGTTCTATCTTTTGAAGGATTCTAATAATCGAATACAGCTGTGTTCCGAACTTTTAAATATTTAAACGATGCGTAAGATATAAAAATCGTTACGCTTACAAGACAAAAAATTATNGACTTTTATCTAATGCTAAGGACAAGTCCGATGACAAAAAAGCGCCGGGGGTGTACCGTATACCTTTGAATGACGAACGTTTCAATCGTCGGATAACATACATTGGATCCACATACAGATCCCTGGAGGCTAGGATACGGGACCACAAATATGATGTGTCGAAGCAGAAGTATAATACGGCTCTAGCACGGTATGCTACCGAGCCCGGGGTTTCCCCATGTTGGGATGAGGCTACTCTTTTACATAGGGCCTTTGACCGACACGACTTACGCTCGTTGGAGGCTATTGAGATTTATAGAGAAACCATAAAGGGAAGCTGCATTAACTCCGATTATATTCCGATTCCACAATCGTGGAAATATTATTTACATTGCCACAAGGCACAACAATAATCGGAAGTTTAATTATTTTTAATCTTTCTGCTATGTATAAGAAATCAGAGCGTTTACATCACGCTAATTTTCACAACTATTTAATAATATTTAATGTATAGCAGTGTTTACATAGCGCTAATTTTCACAACTCTACAATAATAATTTATGTATAGCGTTATTTTAAAATAATTTTTTGTCTTGTAAGCGTAACGATTTTTATATCTTACGCATCGTTTAAATATTTAAAAGTTCGGAACACAGCTGTATTCGATTATTAGAATCCTTCAAAAGATAGAACTGTTTTTTAATGTTTCATCCTGAAGAGGGCCTCTAAAAGACGGCTGAAAACATTAGAATATTAAAATCTTTTGACTGCTGGAAGTAGTATTGAGGTGTTAAGTGTTGTGTGTAAGAAAAACATATGTTAAACGGTTGTTAGAGCTGCATTAATTAAAATTCCTGCCACATATAAAAAGGGATTGCTGCAATTAATTTTGTGCTTTAAGCAAAACTGCGTAAAGTAAGGGATACCTGGATAACTATAAATTTTAGAACGTAATGATGTATCAAAATACTATTTTTTTCAATTCTAGTATTTTTTGTGATTTAATCAATAAATTAAAATTATTTAACTAAGTAAAAAAGTAATAATGTTATCATCACTAAGGAAAATTTTAGAAAATTGCTTATTAAATTCAGAGTATATTTAAAAAAAAATAGTGAGGTGATCTTGGATTTAAAATTTTTATTTATAATTAATTGCACATATGACACTTGAAATGAAGATTTCTTATATTACAATTTTGTTAAGCAAATTTTCGAATCCTGTATTAAATGGTTTTATGAGTTTGTTTAAATTTTGAGGCTTATTATTTAAGATAAAAATATTGACAGATACTAAAAATATGCCAAAGAAATAAATTATTAGGCTATGGTTATTGTATTTAAGCACAAAAGTAGAGAACATTCTTTGCTTGGGGAGGAAGGGGTTAAATTCTGATTTGATTTATTGACTTAGTAATTTTGAAAAAAGTTGTGATTGAATTACAATCAGAGAGTATTAAACTATTTTTTTGAATATGTCTGAAAAGAGGATTCATCTTATATTATATTTAGTGTTTGGAAACAGTCTGACAATTTTTGACAAATTACGAAAGTCAGGAAATTGCCTCCTTTGCTGCCTTGTTGATTTTTTTGCTGATAATATGCTTGACTAAATGTAGGCAGTAAGAAGTTATATGGTGTAATATAACTTATGAAAAGAGGTGCAGAATATTTTCAGGACACAAAATTTTCCCAAAAATTTACAAAGTATAAAAAATGATAAATACCACCATTTAAATTAAAATTATTTATCACTTTTCATTTAAATAATTTTAATTGCATAACAAAATTATTTTTGATATTTTTTTATTTTTTCTTCTTTCAAATTGATTATTTTATAAAGGTCAGGAAATATATTAAAGGATAACTTTAATAAATATACACTTTTCTACATGGATTGTACAGAATTTGTTAGTGAGTAATGAAAAAATAACTAAAAAGTTGAAACAATAGTGTGTGTGCATAATAAGTCAAACGCTGTTTCATTTTGTCACTATGCAAAATTACAGCATTAGCTCACAAAAAATAGTAATATTGTTCTAAAATATTCATGCTTTTGTTTTAGATGCCTTTTCTTTTAAATCATCAATCGTTTTTGTGAACAAGAAAAAAAATTTAATTTCAAATCTTAGAGCACTTCATTTGTAACTCATTATAGATTTTAATAAAATTCACATCAGTGAATTTTATTGAGTGCATACTCTTTTCCGAACAACCCCAGTTCCCAATTGATTTGGATAGTCAATGCTCTACTGCACTTAAATATTAAAAAATGGCAAAAAGTTTAATTTTGAGGGTAGAGACAAGTTTTATTTAAAAAAAAAAGGTTGTAAAGGGTAATAAGTAAAATCTTCATTAGGTCTGACCCAACTTTAGATATGACAAGTGACCCCCCCCCACTCTATTGTCACACCCTGGCACCTTTTAACTATCAATCCCCTAATACACAAACCTCTCTGCAAAATTTCAAAAGTTTTCAATAAAAGGCACAAGAGTTATTAAGTTTCAAACAATAAAAAAAAAACATACCTCGACACAGACAGAGAGAGAGGAAAAAACCCCATTTCTTACTGTTTCAAGATCATGAGTCCAAAAATTAAAAATCTCAGAGGACTTGTCTGATTTCCAGAAAAGTAAAAATGAATTGAGAATAATATGAAGATTTGAGTAAAATGGAAAAAAAATTACCCAGCTATTTTGTATTGACAAAATTTTAAAATTTCTGAGTGAATTTTTTTGAAGTTGAAAAATTCAGAGCTTTACAAAAACTTTCACAATATATAAAATAACCAATATATAAATTAAAACATTCACACACAAATGATGAAATGGTTTTATAATCCTTTGGATTCTATGGGACACACAACTGGTATCAAGATGCAATCACAACAACTTTATAGTTAATATTTTGAACAAGTTACCTTAATATTTTTCAATATCTCCTGTTGAATAAAATGAAGATTTATTTGATTTATATAAATCAAAATTACAATTTTGATAGTTTCAGCTAAAAAATAATTTTCTATTATTGTAGATTTTGCATAATTATATATAGCTGCATTAATATGAAACACTAGGAAACCATTAGTTAGTAGGTTTTCTGTGTGTGTGGATTTTAGTATGTGTGCATGGAGGATTTTTTTTTATTGTTTGAAACTTAACTCTTGTGCCTTTTATTGAAAACTTTTGAAATTTTGCGGGGAGGTTTGTGTATTAGGGGATTGATGGTTAAAGGTGTCGGGGGTCACTTGTCATATCTCGAGTTGGGTCAGACCTAATGAAGATTTTACTTAACCTTTACAATTTTTTTTTCTTTATAAAACTTGTCTTTCTCCTCAAAATTAAACTTTTTACCATTTTTTAATATTTAAGTACAGTAGAGCATTGCTTATCTGAATCAATTGTTCGGATAAGCGATTATGTACGAAAAAATATATTAGCCTATCCCGTGTTGAAATTCGTTCAAATCCTGACACATCCTTAATTAGCCTCTCATGGTTGCTCCAGTGCTGCCAGCTAAAACATGCATACCAACAAAAATAATATTGGAGTAGCCCAAGACATAGCGAAAGATTGCAGTGCCACAGCACTAACGGAAATTTAAATTTGCTGACTGGAACGCTTTTGGTTCATTGACGTTTCAGTTGATCAATATTCAGATAATTGATGCTCTACTATATATAAAAAAATCTTTTTAATAAAATATCATAACAAATGGTGCCACATGCAATATTAAATGTTTTTGTCAGGAAAGTTATGCAACTTGTTGCTAGACTTTTTAATATTCAGTGATTAATTTAATGCATTGAAATTTAACATAATATTGTTTAAAAATTGTAAATCGGGTAATGTAAGATAGCTAAACCATAAATTTAAAATAAACTGTGATATTTAAAATCGCAGAAGAATTTAAATAAGATACAGAATATAAGCTAGATCATAAATTAACGTTTTTGTTATATATGATTTATTATTGAAATAATTTAATTTTTTAATTTTATTTTCATTTTACTAGGTTTATGAAGGTTTTACTTACAAACTGAGTCTTGAGTTTCCCAATAATTATCCATATAATGCTCCAACTGTAACTTTTACTACTCCGTGTTTTCATCCAAATGTGGATACTCAAGGAAATATATGTTTAGATATTCTTAAAGAGAAATGGACAGCACTGTATGATGTACGAAATATATTGCTCTCAATACAGTCATTACTTGGAGGTAAGAGTTATCAAGATATTTTAATAAATATAGTAAAACCTATCCAAAATGGAACCTGCCAAACTGGAAAAAATATTCAATACTGTTCAATTCCAGCTTACACAAGTTTTACTGTAGCTAAAGTGTAAAGCTTAATATCATCATTGTTTTTTTCAGAACCGAATGTTGATAGTCCACTCAATCCACAAGCAGCAGAATTATGGACTAACCAAGAGCTTTATAAGAAAGTTCTACATGAGAAAAATGATGCCAGGAGGAAATCTAAATGTTAATTAAATTAACTATTTGGAACTTCATCATTACAAAAAAGTGCTCAGAGATTATTTTCTTCATCTGATATTTTATCTGTTTGAACTTTTATAGAACTTTTTATATTTAAAAAAATTGCAGAGAGATCTTCAATTTGAAATTCCTTCAGTAATATTTAACTTGTAAAGTCAGAATTTGTATAAAATTAATTTAAAATCAAACTGTGCCATGTAACATGAACGTAATTATTTAAAATTTTGATCTATATTTCTTATAAACAACTAGAATAGAAAATATATAAAAATTCTATTTTCATTTTACAAATTAACATTTTCATACTATATTAACTTTTGATCTTTGCAATCTGAGTATAAAAAATGATAAATACCACCATTTAAATTAAAATTATTTATCACTTTTCATTTAAATAATTTTAATTGCATAACAAAATTATTTTTGATATTTTTTTATTTTTTCTTCTATCAAATTGATTATTTTATAAAGGTCAGGAAATATATTAAAGGATAACTTTAATAAATATACACTTTTCTACATGGATTATACAGAATTTGTTAGTGAGTAATGAAAAAATAACTAAAAAGTTGAAACAATAGTGTGTGTGCATAATAAGTCAAACGCTGTTTCATTTTGTCACTATGCAAAATTACAGCATTAGCTCACAAAAAATAGTAATATTGTTCTAAAATATTCATGCTTTTGTTTTAGATGCCTTTTCTTTTAAATCATCAATCGTNATACATTATGATTCTTAAATTTTTATTTTTATACCAAGAACATTAGGTGCAGCTCCCAATATTTTCAGGTAGGTAACTAGGGCTCTTACTGCAAGTATGGGCACCCTGCTATAATATAACTGTGCATTAATCTAATGATATAATATAAAACAATAATCATAAAATTTCCATAAGAAACATATTTTTGATGGAAATTTAATCATACAATTTGGAAGGGTTGAAATTAAATTCCAAATCTACATAAAATTTTTTAAATTAATTAATTTATATAGATACAAATTGATTTAAGTATACTTTGTTTTAATTAAGCAGAAGATTATGCTTTCATTTCCTTGTTAGAAATAATCAGATTGTAAATTATTTTTTAATTGTTTTCCACATATACTAAAAAAACATTTCAAGATGAAACCTGTGAAAAAATGCTGCAAAAGAAAATTTAGAAAATGCTTTAACAGATAATAATAAAACAATACGGTATAATTTTATTATTGGCTATTTCTAATGGAAGTGAGACATTGAAATTCATTGTTCTTATTATAAACATCTTCAGTTTATTTATTTTTTTTAATTTTTGAATGTTTTGAGTTTAAAGTTAATTGTAATATGATGAAATACAATGGTATTTATTAATTTCTTACTTCATATCTTTTTGATTTTTATAACTTAGTGTTTTTATTATTTATAATTACTATAAGCAATAGTGTTCCATTATAAACATAATGGAAACATTTTAGTTGAAAAATACTTTTCATTTATATACAATATAGGAATTATATTTCAGTAAATGTTTTACACCTTGCTAACTTTGACTAATGTAGTGAGGATTGTGTTTACAAAAGTTCAAGTTAATAGATGTTTTTTCTGATGACATGGAAAATGAGGTGATGTACATACAGTATAGTAATTTATCAGCTCTGTACAGAAGTTTTAGAGCTTTCATAGATTATACTGTTCAATTTATTATTACAGCAAATAAGTTCAAAGAATCTGACAGTACAGTATACAACAACCTACAGTCTGCAGTAACTTACAAGTTAGTAATATAATCAGGACTCCACTTGTCCTTTTACACTTAAAAAGTATCAATAGGAAATCACTTTATAATAATGTGAGATTGATTTTGACCAAGTTGTGGTAAAACAGAACACTGAGTGCATTTAGTATTAAAATATTAGGATTTTTGACTGGAAATCAAGTTAAACAAAAGACATGATTTTCTTTTACATTGTCTTGAGGTGAGGACATGCTTGCAAGAGAATAATGTGAAATTTAATGTTGAAAATAATAATTTTAGGTTATACAGGAGAGAGATTGAATTAACATCGTTTTTTTTTCATTAGCAATGTATTTTATTGAGAAGTTGTAATAAATTACAAAAGTTTATTCAAACAGGATCATTTTTACCTGACATTTCTTGAGTCTCAACATTAAAAATACCAATAAGAGAATTATTGGAAGTATTAACTCTTCAAAACTTTCAAAATCATGTAGAATATTTATTGTAATAGCATCTTTGCTTTTATTTTCCTTTATTCTTATATAGCTACATATTCAGCTATTACTTTAGGACTTATCACACTGTGTTTTTTAGGAATTTTTGACCTTTTTACTTATACTGTACATATTGGAGTTGGAATTTAATAAATAAAAAGGTCCAAGTCAAGATTCTTAAACAACAACATTTGATAAGAGTCTCAACATTAAAAATATCAATTAGCCCTAAACTAATAGCCAAATATGTAGGTATATAAGAATAGAAAACATATAGAATATTTAGAACTTTTACTTCCCTCTTGCAGGAATATATCCTCACCTATCTCAAACATCTACTAATTGTCTTTACTTCATCAACCAATTTTCAATTTTATCATCTAGGTTGGAAGGGGATTCAAATAAATATCTGAAAATAAAACTCTTTACAGACATAAGTGATATTTTTCTTTACTTAACATTATTTTTTAATTTCCATAGTTAAAAATTTTAATATTGATACTATATTGCACTCTGTATTCTAGTGTTATTTATCATCAAAAGTTCTTTGTAGACTTTTTTGTTTTTTTCAAAATGCTACAGCTATTTTTTTAACTTTGTTTGTTGTTATCCACATCTCAGAAATACATCAACTGTACAATTTCACTTAAATTTAAGCCAGTCAAATTAGATTACTGGATTGTGTTGAAAGAGTACATCTAAACTGGATACCAAAATTTGTATACATCCAAACGATAGACTTCAGACAGCCACACAAAAAATGACAATTGAACAAAACAAAAACATATTCAACTGGAGAAAGATTGTCTGCAGTGCATAACTTCAAAGACTCAGTGCTAGCAAGATGATAGAATTTTTTCTTGTCAACAGAATGATGATCTCTCGATTTACAAGCCATGTCCTTGATTTGCTTTATATAATAATAATAAATAATACTTCAGTTGTTAGTACAAATAAAAAGTTGACTGCTGCTGTAATATGACAAACACCAATTGCTTTTTATTTCCCATTTCCAAGACAGAAAATTGTGCATCCTTGCTAGTTTTGTTCAACTTTTTACTTCCAGAGTAATTTTGACAATAGGAAATTAATCAGCACTTCTATTGTCTAGGGTAGGAAGGTATGTCAAACTCATTTAAACAACAGGCCATTAATGCGACTGATAAGATTCACGCTGGCCACATCACATTTACAAGTTTACAAAATTATAATTTGGAGTGAGAATGCAGGAATATAGATGGGGCAATTAAAACACGTAGTTCAATGAATTCAACTCAACAATATATAGTTGCTATAGTATTTCTTTTATTTAATGTACAGTACATATAAAACTAAAATTGTTTTCACTGGAAACTTGCCAGCACTATCTTCCTCCTAGTTTTACAATATCTGGATTCAAAGAACAATCTTCATTATGACAGACAGATGTTTATCAGTTAATTTTGATCTGCAAGCCGTTTTATTTAATTTCAGAGCATCGTGGCTGCGGGCCACGAAAAATCGCATCGGCGGCCGCCAGTTTGATATCTTATCTGGGGAATTACAATTTATCACTTAAAAGGGGTAAAAGACCACCTAGGAGAAAATGGAGTGTTCACTAAGAGGTTCGAGTAATTAATTAACAATTTGGAATTTTCTGACTGCTAAGAGAGGTTTTACTGTTATTTTCTTTTACAAAATTATTGCAATATATAGAAGGCATATAGATGGATCATTAGCTTTACAGGAGGGATAATGGAGCCCACATATAATAAGACATAGTTTTATGTTTTATTTATAGTTATGTAATGTTTTACTAATGGTGTGTTATAAAATTTAGTACAGATTTTATGAATTAGTTTATAATTACCGTATTTGATGACTTTGTAAGACACATTTGCTCTGTGTTTTAGAAACACAGAGCAAATGAGCAACAGACATAACCATACAACACAAGATCATGCCGGTAATGAATCTGAAAATATAAATTTTAAACTTGTTTCTCCTTTTAACCGGATATTATGAATTAACACATGACTTGATGCAATGGAATTTTATTCTGCCTTTAGATACATTTCAAATATCTAAATACTTATCGGTCAGATAGCATCCTGCAATCATTATAGAATGCTGAGTGAGTTGTAGGATTCAGTTGAATTTAGATGCAAAAGGTAACGTCAAAAAGTATGTTCTTTACTCCAATTTAAAAAAAAAAATTTTAATTGAAGTAAAGAACTTACTTTTTCGTTGTATATACCCTAGAATTTACTAAAAATCATCGAGATCTTTTACTTATACAGGATGAGTCGATTAACATATACGAAAGTATCATCAAATCCTATTCCTTTTCACAAAAGTGAATTGAGACTTTATCCTATGACCCTGTATGATAGCTCAATGCAATAACATGTCCAGAGTGTAGATTTAACTAAAATGTAAGCAATATGTCAATTTTTTCTTAAAAGACATTATATTTTTCATCTAATCTCATTTGGAAATGATGGAAATAAATAAAAAAAATTACATTGCGTTAAAAAATCCAGCAACGAGATGCGTGATTTTCTTGACTTATGAGATTTTATTTAAAAAATAACTTTTATATTATTAATCATAATAAATAAAATTGCGTGTGGTGTCATCTGTTATGAGATTTTGATATAAAAACTTCATTATAAAATGGCAATTATAATAAAATTTTGAGGGTAGAGATGAGGTTTATAAAAACTAAATGCTACCGAGTTAAGTCTGATGTGACACGTGACTACCCCTCTATCTTTACCATCAAAATTTATGCATAAGCTACCGTACCAAATTTCCTTTTATTATCTTTATCTCATCCTGAGATTAAACGAAATAGACGCCAATATGTATCCAGGTAAATTTTTTGGCTTAAAGAGCTCCTGAAACGGAGATTTGCACAAAAACTCGGAGGGTCAAATTTGACAGGATTCCATACTTTCCCTTATTATGTATACATAACAACAGGGAAAGTAAAATTAAGAAGGACGTTGAAATAAAAAAAAAATTAGAATTGAATGTCTGGCACTTTCATATTTAAAAAAAAAAAAATAGCCTATTATACTGAAATAATGCTTTTGTTAAAATTGTCCTACTTTTTCATTTTTGTGTGTGGGAGCCGTGTATAATGCATGGTCTGGTGGATATGAATAATACAGTACTAGTTAACTGCAATTTTTCTATTGTCAAGAAATTTTTAATTACTACAACTTTTCGAAAAAATTTTTCCGAGTTGATGAGGCTTACCGTATATCGACTTAAACAATATTAAAAAACGGAGTCTTGAAATTGGTTAGGCCTTTTTCCTGCTATGATACAAATATACTTTCGCGTAATGGCGAACGATATTTCACTATCGATGATTTAACGCCATTTACATTATACTTCATAAAATATTCGGTGATTTTTGTAACTACGATTAAGACCATAAAAGTATCACTCGAGTTTATATGGGGCTCGAAGGTAGATCTGGTTCCTTTAGCTTTTAGCTGTTTGTTTTTTGAATAAACTAAATAGAATGTTTCTTTCTGTATATATTCCGTATAATTGAAATCACTCTGTCTTCGATCAAGTATCAAGTAAGAACAGTTGAACCGATTTCTACGAAACTTTTAATATTTTTTTTCCCCGAGTGAAACCAGGTACTTCGGCAAGTTATTAATAAAAAGTAGTCTTAAAGATTTTTTGTGTTAGTAAAAATAACGTTAATTTTATGGGGCTTGGAATAACTACGAGTCTTTACATTTCTCCGTGTCCGGGAAAATTTCCCAGCTCCTTCGTTCGACGGCTCTGGATTTATTACCGGCAGAATACAGATCACATGCCATAGATAAAACTTTGATTCTGATTGGTGCTAAGTGTGTTAGCTTCGATAGACCACATTCAGATTTAAAGATAAAACTTGAATACTGTGTAATCGACTTATTTCGGAGATTTACGTTTGAAATGAGCAGTTTGTAAAAGTTCCTAGGGTCGGCAAAATATTTCAAAAATTTTTAAAGAGTAAGTTGTTAGCGTGGATGATCTAATGCAGTGTTTCTCAACCTCTAACGAATCGTCGACCGCTTCAACGTAGTATCGCCCCCTTCACTTCAAAATTCCAATGCCGAGAGCCAAGGCTAACGCCAAATTCGTACTGCATTGAATAGACTAGTAACTAGTATAATGTTATTTGTTTAATTATTGTACGATATAACGAATAAAATATCTAATTATTCTTAATATAATGTTTTACTATATTGCCCAGAAAATTGTCTTTTGCCCCCAAAATATAAATTGTTACTAATCGCCCTCTCAACGTGGAAAAACGCCTACATGGGGGCGATATCGCCCCCGTTGAGAAACACTGATCTAATGTATGGCGGTTGAAAACGTTTTACAAAGGAACAATAAACAGTTCCTGAAATAAATGTTCGTATATTTATATGAATATACAGTACATTTTTGGCATAAACATCAATTTTTAACCCATCATAGAAATACCGCTTGGTTTGATTTATTAAAAGCGACTTGACTGAAATCTCGATCGAATGTTGAGGAGTCCGAATTCGAATCTCTTAGAGTTACGTATAGAGACATTCTTGTTTATAAAACTTCCATTATTTATTGAATTGTTTTATAGAACTTTTAAATCTTTTCTAATCCGAAAATAAGTAAGCAAAGAAATTTTTTTACGGTGAAGTCGGAGGAGTCGATTACGGTGAAGTCGAAAGATAAAATCTTTAAACTTATATAGCAGATCAAAAACTAAATATAAAAATTAAATTTTATAAATAATGTAATTTTTAAATAAAATAAAATTAAATATATGATTAAATAAATAAAAAAATATGTAGACTGTAGTAGTTGACTTATTCGAAGACAGGTAGCGCTTTTCATTATTCCATGTGCTTTTGATTTTGTGTGTGATGTTTGTTGATTCTTTGTGATTTTTGAGTTAATTTTGAATGATTTAATTTATGTTACACAAGAAGTAAGTCAGTCTGTCATTAAATATTCATCTTGACTCATAAGAACCTATTTATAGTATTTCGTATAAAACACAATCCATTTTTATAACTATTTGAAGATGGTTTTACATATAAACCTAAACACACAGTGAATATTCACTTTTTAGAGGAAGTTTGATAAATATTTTGAAGAAATAAAATTATAATTTGCTATTTATTATAAATATTAATTCTCATTTTATCTGTAAAGTATGCAATGCAATTTGTCATTAAATGATTTTCCAGAACCAATTCTACTAAGAATAATGTCTTATCTTTCTCCTTTCTCTAAATATAAATTGGCTCTGACAAGTGTAAGAATGTATTCTTTATTTCAGTCTCCACATACATGGAGAGCAATTAAACTGGTTATTATTAATGAACAAATTGAACTACCTCTGAATTGTGTTAAACTCTATGGAAGATATTTCTGGAATGTCTCTTTAGATATATACCTATCAGAAGAAACTTCAAACAGTATTATTCAAGTGTTAACATTATTGTCAAGTTTATGTAATTTGAAAGGTATAACTGTTAACTGCATTGGGAAAAGTACATCATTTATTCCAAAAAAAGAAATAATGTGCCATTTGAAATGTCTTTTATGCCATATTTCTAACATATCTGCTTTAAAATATATAAATATTACTCATTTTTCATTACCTTTAGATGATTCATTTTTGAATCATTCTCATAATTCTAATCTACAATTTCTATACTTGCAAAATAATTTAATAATGAATAATTTTTCTCCAATTAAAATTCTTTCCGTTGTCAACAATTGTCGTCAATTAAGAATAATCTCTGTTCCACTTGCAAGCTTATCCGAAAAAATAATCCTTGCTTTTACTGAAAGTAACAGAATATCTTTAAGTAAATTATGCATTACTATATCGGGAACAGATATTGTTGAAAATAAGAATTATGCTGCTGTTTTCAGTTCTGATCTGTGGACAGTTGTTATTAGGCAGTTACCATGCTTAACTGTTAGTTTACATATTTATGAATCTTGTCCCTTTTTAGTAATTGAAAGGGTATTAATTTCAGAAATTCCATATTCTGAAATTAGATTAGAAACATTTACATCTCTTTGGAAAGAAGTGATTGTTATATCAAATCTTTATCATCAAACTTTGCAAAAATTAATACTTCATCCAAGTTCAAGCAGCCAAGATCTGGATAATGCTTTATTACATATGTCTGAGAAATGTAAAAAACTTTATGCTCTTCATGTGTTTGATCTATTGAATCCAGAAACAATTCAGACTATTTTAGATAAATATCCACAAATGAAAAAAAGAGAAACATATACTTTAAGATCATCAAGAGGAGAAGGACCTTGGTCTTCTGAGCAACTGTTAGAAAAATAATATCTAAATTTATTATTAAATAATAAAATAATATATTTTTTTGTATATTATTAATAATAAAAATTTTGCTTTAAATTCTTTTCTGTATATTATAAAATCTTTCTTAATTATAATCAAAGACAGTTTAGTTTCCATTTTGAATAAATTTTTGTAATTTTGTTTTAATTTTCTTTTGTTAAAAAAAATTAAAACAATTAAATATTTTTAAAATAAGTTCAAAAAATATTTATAAGTTGAAAATTTTATAATTTTAGGAGTAAGTTTCATATTAGGTTAATAAAATAGAACTTACTCTCTTGAGAATATTGATCATCTATTTAAATTAGATTAGTTTTTACTGAGAGAGAGAGAGAGAGATTATTGAGTTTTTGAATTAAGATTCAGACCTATAAAATTGTTTAAAAAATCAAGATCGATAAACTTTTTGTACTCTGAAAGGAAACTTCATTATACCAACATCCAGCTGGCATTTAACTATTTACATGCTCCAGAAAGAAAAAAAAAATTATATTAAATTTCAAGCAACTATTGGTATTAAAAATTTTTCAAAGTTTTAATTAATTAAAAATTCTTAATGTTTATTACTTTTTAATTTAATATCGGCTTCAATGTTGATAGTTAAGTCCATGAGGGAATTGTTTGCATTCTTGTAAGTTTAATATACAGTATTAATTATTATACTAAATAATAATATGATGATAATACTTTAATAGTAATAAAGTTTATTATTGTATTTTAATTCTCATAAATTATGTGCCTTAATCATATGAATAAATTAATCGTTACTGAAACGGAAAATGGTGATCTTTCACTGCGGTTTTTTTTTGTATATGAGTATAAACACTGCGATTTTGTTCCTCTATCCCTATTAACTTGTAATAGCTTGACTTGCCCTCATTTTACTTGGTTTCCTTCATTTAGCCACGTGTTTCTCCTAGTTACCTTCGAAAATTACTGAGACGAGTCCAATAAATTACAACAAATTCTTTTGTGAGAAAATAATTATTTATGTTTTAAGCTATAAAAATAAATAAACTTTTTTGGGTGTATTAAAGTAATAATTGAAAAATACATAATTGCTTCTGTATGATTTTTTTATGTAGTAAACAGCTATTCTTTGCAGTACTTGTTGGTACTTTGATGTTTTTGTTTATACACAAAAATAATAACAATGTGGGTATATGATTTTATTGGGTTTTCGTGACGAAAAAGCCTGGGTTTTTCATGCGTTTTGCAAAATGTAAACCCCGAAGGTGTAAAAGATTGATACTAAAAACATCTTTAGTGTAGATATGTATATATATATAATCCAGGATACCCGATAATTCCTTAGCGTCATCTGTTAACATTCCACATCAATAATCATTAATTAGTAGAAAGAAGCAACGGTAAATGCGAGGTAAAAAAAGAGTAGTTTTTTTTCTTGTTAAACATGAAAGAAACTCAGCTTAAAAGAAAAAAAAAAAGAAACACACATCTTCAAGATGAGTTTTTCATTAATGCTATATATAAATAAGATTTTTGTATGGTTCTGTTTGATTCCTTTGGGGCATGAAAGCTTGATATGGCTAATATAGACATAGTCCTTCATATTAACCAGAACTAATTGAATTACGGTTTGTGAATGGGTCCAAATACCTCATATCGAAAAACTTGCAGTTGCCCATCATACTTTATTACCCTTAGGATCTCGATCCGAGTGTGGAGAGAATTTGATAATAGGGATTAACCCTTCTGGTTAAACATCGAGATGGGAAACCCGAAGGCATTTCGTTGTCAAGCCCCTAAAAGATTATCATATCACAGAATAGTTAATTATAATCTATAATTATGGTTAATTCTAATATTTGTACAAGAGTATATCTATGTTAACCTATTCCGTTTGTATTGAATTAAATTGAGTCTAAAGTACAGAAACCCTATTATAACTTCAAACGAAATTGTTTAACGATGAAACATCGCTATGAATTCGAAATGTTCCGTATCATTCATTAATGTTTAGACTCTTCGTCCCTGTAAATCAAATACTTTAATTATAATTAAAGTCAAAGAATAATCTTAAAAACATATTAATTTAATACTTGCTATAGTAAACTCTAGACACAACTGCAGACAATCCTGTTTTGGAGACAATACAGGAAGTGAATTTAACTGTATTCCAGTTCAGTGATATTCGGAGGCATATAGAAGTTTTCTAACTAATCAGAGAGCTTAATAATGCGAAGAATTACCAATAATGTTGTTTACAGTCTGTTTAAAATTTGCGCAGTGTACCAAGTCAACACCCTGAGAGTAAAACTCATTGAGATAATTAACCGGTCACTTTATCGAGTTATAAATATCATTTTGCTCTTAGCGAAGTGATCTTTATACATTAGCCATTTGGCAAAATTATTTCGATTGTTTTATGTTCAACTCCGTAGGGTCACAAATGGCGATTAATTTATCCGGTTTTATTCCGAGATTAAAGTTATAGTCGGCATCAATATTCTCAACCGTTTCTACATCTGCATAACTAAATTATTTACTAGACATATTTACCACTCCTCGCTACCATTTTTAATACCATTACCAAAAGAAGAGTTGTTTGTGCCAAAAGCAATAGAAAATTGCTTTTGGCACAAACATAAAAATAAAGAAAAAAAATTCTCCTGCTAAGTAATGAAATGGTCATTATCAAGCAGACTTTTTATTTAGTTGTCAATGTTATCCGGCTATTTTCCAGAAGTTGCAATAAGATATACGACAGAAAATTTCCATATGTCGAAATCGAATTGAATAGTTTCTGTTGTAATTTACTGATAATGCAATTAAGTAAAAACATAATTGTATTTTTTTTATTTTTTATTCTTTCATGAAGCAGGTGTTACCAGTCAAAAAAACAAGAGTAAAAACAATGAGAAGTTATATAATGATTATGTTAAAGCTCGTCAATCAAATGTTCATTGATCATTTATAATCACCATTGTTATTATAACAGCATCATTTGTCTGTTAATCTTAATATATTTCTTATGCAGAAAACCTTTTTAAAATTCAGTTATCGTTCTTGTTTATATTATTATTATTATGTATAAAAAGTCTCGTTTATCGGAAGAAAATATATAAACTCGATATTTTAAATAATATTAGGATATTACCTAAAATCTTCAAAGTAATCGTCATTAACCTTATAAAGTAAGAAGAATATTTAAAAAATAAAAAAAATAAATAAATTGAAGTTACTGTAAAAGATTCTTGTTAAGTCAATTTGTAATCGCATTATATCATTGCCATAAATTTAAACCGAGTTAATATTGCATTTAAGCTATTTTTATAATGATTTTTTTAATGTAAGTAACCATTTATAATGACCGAACCAGGAAATAATGATGACCAAACTGATTTAATCAGCTAATTGTTGTGGAAAAATGATGTAAACAGCGAAATTTATTTTTGTTTTCTTTTAATGTATAAGTTAATAGAAGCGTATATAGTATATGAAACAGCAAATTAGTACTTTGTCTCTATATAATGAATGTGTCAAATTTGATTGCCTATTTTATACACCAATTAAGGTAAATTATGGAAGTAACCTCCAAGTTTAGCTCATTAGTATTAAAATTATATAAAGGAAAAAAAAAAATTTTTTTTGCAATTACTTCCGACTCGGGTATGCCTAATTTGTAATCTCTTAAAAAAAATTAATTTTCGTGTTTAAATAACAACAACAACAATAAAAAAGAAAAAAAGATATCATCAGAAAGAAACATTAATCGGTTCCAACTCTATACCGGTTTTGGTTAGGGAAGGACCGTCACGTTTTCCTCACGCTTAAATTTAGACCGTGACGTTATTATCTTCTTACTCGTTCATGGTCAGCATGGGGTGGGTGTCTTAGGAAATGAGTCCAGAAAATCCATTTTTTGAATAGTCGTGTGAGTTAGTGGGGTCATGAGAAGATAGATCGTGGGAGAACATTATGCTATTTGTCAAACTTAAGTTGATGATGATATTTTTGATCTTTCAACGATTTCAAAAGATTAGAAAAATAACCATTTTCAATTGTATAAGAGTTTTAAGAAGGAGCACGTTCTCGGAACTTAATTAAAACGGCGAACATTTTCAGATTTTAAATGTTTCTTTCTTTTTATAATAAACATAAAATCGAGAATTTAAATGCGTAAACAAATGTGAATTCTTATTTTTCTTATTAGTTCTTTTTCATTTCATCAGATGGCGGAAGTTAACGCTAGCAGACATTTTATTATACCTGCTTACGCATGCATTTTATGTATCATAAATTAAAAAAAAATAAATAAATTGTTGTGAGGAAAAGTGTATAAATCATCAACTTAAAAGAATTTTAATTGGCTTAAAAACTAGCCGAATAAAACTAAAATCCGATTTTAAAACTCGATACGTTGCAATCTTTTTTTTTTTTTTTCTTTTTTTACCAAATCCGAAATCTTTAATTATATCATGCTCCATCCATCACACAATGTTGCTATTCTTATCCGTTTACAACTTCCAACAACACACGATGACATCATCGCTCAATTAATCTCATTGCTGTGATTACTTTTACTTCGTAAATCAAGGTACAATACCTATTCCATTAAAATAAAGCCGTATCTTTCTAGATTGCATGAAGAGCACGGTTTACACCCACGAGATCATTATACTTTGTCACGTAGATTGATACTGTTACACTAATAATTTCACTCGACTTATCTGTAAACTTTGCGATTTGAAATCAGAAGTTTCCATTATAAATTTTACAACCGTATTCTCTCTTATCTAGTGGCATTGACATTGAAAAAAGACAAACAAAAGAAGCGTGCCAGCTATGGATTATATGAACCGATGTAATTTACATAGAATAGAAAACTTTGGTATTATCTTAACACGGGATTTTCTCTATAATAATTCACTAGAAATTCTATAATGTAGAGAAGAATTAACACCGAAAACGGACCGTTTAATAACGATTCCTGACAGTATGGATATAAAAATAATCCGAGATTTTA